AAACATTTGAACCGGTCCTCATCAAAAGCACAATAAATCCCACAAGTTATGGTAGCAGTGGTACAAACAGACTAAAATTTCCACGTATTACATATGTCCACCTGTGAAATATCTCGTTCCCGTGGCCGGGAAACACCTGGCAAAGATAATCACCCGAAAGCAGGTTTATCGTCTTGTGCTTGAAAATTTAATTTCTGCTTGACTTCTATGTAGGATGAATACATAGTAGCTGGTTATGACGCATACCAAGTCAAAATACCTGCGGTTTCTAGGCATAACCTATCAACACTTTTTATGGGCATGAGTGAATGGAGCTCGCTTGATGATTTCCTGGTTAATATTTGCATATGGGCTCATTACGGTTATCAACATCGTCAGCTGTGAAGTGAACTTTCTATCGACCCGGCCGAAGGATGCCGTTATTATGAGCTTAGTAATGGTTCCCTTTTAAGAGATACGCGATAATCCACCCGAAGTCGAGGTAGTTTAAAATTTTCATAGGTGACATTTTCTACGTACTAGCTAAGAGAAAAATAAACATATAAATGTCAGAACAGTTTACTCACGCAACATTTAACCCATTAATCCTGAAGCTACGCATGACAAAAAAACTCGAATCATGTGTTTCTTTTTTTTGGAAAAATCCGCAAGATACTACAACGCATTATATATATATATGTATAAGACAATAGTTTTGTGCAATATTTGTTGTCGGCTTACCTGTTTTTTTATTTATACAGGAGCGACGTCGCCTACGTGGAAAATATCCTCGAACTCAATTTTGGGATGATGAACGCGAGTGCCGAAAGCTGCTAAGTGCTTATCGAGTGCGCGAACTTGAAGTTCAGGCAGAGGGGCAAAGACAAGCGACCATCTGTAGATCGGGTATATCCTGTACAAAAAATACTGCTAATAATGCTTTCAATACTTACTGATTAGATGGGTGAACCACCTAGCGAAGAAGCTAGCAGCATGTGCTCAGGCTCCTAAACTGCTATATTAAACGAAAGAGAATAATTTCTATAATTTTCACATATAGACATACAACTGATAGACATAGACCAGGTCACTTCCGAAAACTTAGAGCAACTTCAGGTATCGCAATTATTTATTGATCTTTATCTTCGGCAGGTAGCTTGTATATAGACGATACGAAAACATTTTTAGGATAGGAATGACGAAAAGTAGAATAAATAAATTACATCGGTCGAAGTGCTATGACTGCGCAGCCTTTCTCTGTACCACGCTGTTTAACAAAGGCATTCTTGGACATAAACCTACGTGGCATTGCCCACAAAGGCCTTCGCAGAGGATATAATGCAACAATACCGAGGGTCGACTTCAGCGATCCGTTTCTCTCATTGTCGTTTCTAATAAGCCGAAGTGGCATTAGAGATGCTCAACGAATTGCAGCGTGTCCCTTAACAGAGCAGCTGAAACAAGATTTATGCAGGTCCAGTGCTCTCTTTAAAAATATCGGCCTTACTAGGTCCAGCCTATACAGTTGGAGTTCCTCAGATCAGTGTAATACCATGTAAGGCCATCGGTGTGAACCTGACATCGGAGAGGTGTACTGGCGTACTGAGGAAGGGAAGCTACGGCTTTTCTACGGAAGCGTTTGCTACTAATGTCTTCCTAACACGTTCTTTTACATGTTCGGTTTGGCGAATCACGGAATTGAATAAAATCAATTTTAAGTAGCAAAAAAATCTGACGTATTCCAGAAGCGAAAAGTGTGACTAGAGAACATTACATGTCGCTAGCGACCCTGCTTTTCAACACTTCATAGCTTTGGCCTACCCAAGCTGATTTCTAGATACTGGCATCCGTTACACACAGGACTGATATTTCTCAGTTACGCTGCTCGAGAGATTGTTCAGGGAAGTAATAAGAGTAGGGGCTAAGGTCGAAGAGGTTCAGCTCCGTCTACTCTTCTTTTCCCGTAATGAGATCCTTCTACAAAGGCAGAAAGGTGAGCTTACAGGGAATTCGTGCCTCAATGAGCTTGAACAAATCCGATCCTTCAGTGCGTTGTTAATGCCACTTTAAAATCGATCAATAGATGACCTGCTTGGCACTTCTTATGCCTAGTGAGTAATCATTGTTGACTTTCCTTTACGAAAGTTGCATAGTTCACCGGATATCCTGCCTCGAGCATCTAGGAAAGCATAAATAAACGTGAAAAAGTACAGCTGAATCTACGCTGTAGCAGCAGTGTATTTTTGCGATTCCTCTTGATAAGCTCGACTGTCGAGGGTTGCTTTTTAGGATAATGGTATGAAGGGCCTTCTGCTAGTCGTCTGGTAATCTCCCGTTGTGCAGACAAGCGTTATAAAAAGCAGTCTGCTATGGTGCTAGTGCTATTGCTTCCTCGGAAGGTCCGAACTTAATGTGATATAAGTCGGTTGCTTTGTTGGTGTAAAGCCATTGGAGTGCTACTTCACCTCACCGGCCCTCATCTGGCCCATGCAGCATTATACCATAGTGGCTTTTTCGGCACGCTGTCTCTGGATGTGGAGATCTGCCAAAAGTCTGATCTTGTAGCGCAAAGAGGGAATCTAGATCGTCGTCGCCATCTATAGGGGTGCACATGTAGCTCCGCTTCTACTAAAAAGGCGGTTTTCTACGTATCTTAGGGTAGCCTAGAGGGCAGCAATGTGTTCATTGACAGAAGTTTGCTGAGATATTCTCGAAGTGTTTCTGTGTTAATGACCTTTGATTGCTGTGCAAAACCCTAGCAAGGAAGTACGCACATCCGTAAATAAGTGACTTCTAAACGAAGCTCCAATATGTGAAAAATATTTTGGGTCTGGGACACGCCATTTGAGGATAGGCATGTTGACCACGAGCACGACGATAGTGGATAGATAGACGCCATTGAGCCTGTTCGACTCAGCACTCATAGTCCAAGCAGGTGTCAATCAGGGGCGTCGTTTAGGTTCTTTTTCGACCTACCTAATCGCGAATTGAAATCGCGTGCTAAAATTAATTAATTATTGCCCATTTAAAAAACAAAGCAATTATTCTCTTGCCCTGTGTTCATCGCTCCGAAGGGCAATACAAACAGTATTGATCCGAAGCAATCGGGCAAAATATATCCTGCTGCTCTCTTAAGCCTTTATGACTCCTAATATTTCTTAACATCGCCTATATTATTTTCAGGCCCGCTGCTTACCCCTCCGTCATCGCCTCGCCGGAGAAGGAGGACCTCATCTCCTCTCAACTCTCCAGCACACGCAAGCACCGGCTATTATGCCACCCTTGTTGGCACATCGTCCAGTCACTTGCACAGCCGAAGTGGAAGTAGTACAAGTCTTGCCAGTAGTAGCAGACCGCATTCCTCACCTTCGTCACCCGGACACCACGCCGCTGGAACCCCTGCCTCGAATCAAGGTGCTACTATCATTATTGATTCTATTTTATCCATTTCATTTGAATACTAGCTATCAAACAGATATGTGGTACGAAACACGATTTAACAAATAATAGCTCCAAAGTTCTTGAAGAAGCGGACCGATCGATCTGATTCAAACAACACCATAGGACGTAAGTAATCGTTCAGACGAATAGCTTCCAGTACGAAACGAAATGTGTCGATGTTTGGATTCGAACCTAGAACCATAACATGTTGTCAAGATTGGCAGCCAAATACGTCATTCACTAAGCTGAATCGAAGCTGGCAAACATGGCCCAGCCTCGAAATTACGAAGAGCTGAATATATGATAAATAAATAAATGTCCGCTCGGAAAAAAGAGACAGTTATAATAAGCTTGTTTGATCGTTTTCGTATGCGGTAAGCGCTAGCGGTTTGTGGCGGTTTCCTGTTCCAAGGGAACATATCAGATTTCATAATTAAAAAAACCTAGTTATTTTATAAAAGCAATTTAGATCTCAAAGCTTGGGCACAAATTCCTATGGGCTGATTGCCATAGGAAGCCGTTTATAAGCTTTAACCTTTACAAGATAGCTCACTCTAGCTTTGGTATTCTATAGGATTTTTGCTTGTCGATATGACGCATTCTAAGTCACGTAATACTTTACTTGCATATTTGAACGATAGAAGGTTAAAAATGGGTTGGCTTAAAGTATGTTTTGAGGTATATGTTAGAACGATTTGTGTACGAGCCTCCGTTGAATAAATACTTTCATTAAAAAAAATATATTTTTGTATCATATTTTCTAATAACTTAGCAAACATGATTCTACGACATATTACTATTTTTTCTATTTTCTATGAAAATTTAATTTCAGCAGCTCGTGGAAGCCTAACACGGGCCAGCAGTACATCAGACGGCTTCCAGTCTTCGAAATTGGGTGGTGGCGCAACGATCTCCACTGCATCGAAAGCATCAACGTCCTCTGGTAGGCCCAGCTCAGCGCGTTATCGTAGCTATTACGGGGGTTCCTGACAATCGGCTGCACAGTCGCAGGTCTCCCGGCGTTTGGGGGCGGTAGCCCATGGCACCACAACGACCAAACGCAGAAATAGCGATGTCAGCACCTCACGAAACGCCTCACAAAGGAGTGTTTCACTTCTTTCACCAGAGTCAAGTTTTGACCTTAGTGCGGCATCCATTTTACGGGTAAGCTAAAATGATTGAATTGTAAAAATGCACCATATGCACTAAAGTTTTTTTTTTTTTCTCAAAGCTGTATTGGCGCTGAATAATCTCTAATTGTTGTTAGTAGAGTGGAAGTTTAAAAATGTTTTCCCCCAATACGTTTTCATACACAATTGACTCCAAAAAGAAAAACGTATAGTATGCAGCACGTGCATGTACTCTCATTCTTTGTATAAATTACACCAGGGAACGGAAGTGATGAACGATCTATGAGATTATAAACTGTGTAAATTTACAAATAACCTAGCGGAGTAACTCTGCATAGGTACGCAGAGTAATTTATTTATCTTATAAGAACTCGTCTGTTTGAAACTACTTTAAGAAGCAGAAGAAGCAGATGTGCACGCAACAAAAAAAAGTACGCAACGATGTAATAATAATACACGACAGCATGAGCACATTGCTACTTGATCCAACTCTGGCATAGACCCCTCAAACAGTAAAGAAAAAAGAACAAACCTCAGTTCCTCGATTCCATTAAGGGAACACAGTCACGTTTGTTTTTCAGGCAGTGGAACATGCACTGCAACTTAGACACTGTCCTACACCACGTTTGAGCAGCACAACGAGCTTCGATCGAAGACACCAATTCAATCTATATCACAGTTTGTTTGCTGACTCAGGTCACTACGCATCTCTCAAGGGGCGATTCAGTGGCCGCAAAGGATCTATCGCTAGCTACACAAGCAGCAATATCAGTAATAGCAACAGCACCGAACTGATAACAGGTCATCAGTATAATAATAATGATCCGCTATCTTTGACGGGGCCGTATCACAGTTTTGGAGTGTCATCTACGTCGGCAGCGGTATTTACGTCTCGTGCGACCAGTGCACCTGTACGACGCATAGAGTTTATTTTCAACAACATGGAGAAACTGAACACAAACTTTAATCAAAGGCCACAATCATCCTTAACTGAAACAGCCGATGGCCACGTTCGCCGAAAGCGCGCGACACAACTTCAACATACGTTCTCATTACCCGAATCTGGTGTTTCTTCGCTGCACGTTACTAAATCAAGCGGAACCAGTTCACAGGCTGAGACTGATTTGTCCCTGTGCGTCCCTCTGACTCCGCCGTTATCATTACCAACGCTGATGCCATTGTCAGCTCCTGATCCCGATTGTTATTCCAAATTCAATATGACAAGGACATCAACAACTGTTACTAGAAACGTTGATATAGCTATTGAAGCAGATGGCGATAAATACGAGAGGAGACAGAGCAGAGAAGATATTATTGAATCAGATGCTGCAGGACAATCACCGTTATATGGACAGTTCGATGATGAGTATGCGGCAAGTAACAAGAACATAAAACGACCCATTAGTGCGTGGCGTACCGAATCGCCAAATCAACGTCGACACTTAAGTGGCTATACACGCGACGAGATTGAACGATACCAGCAGGGAGTAATTAACATTATCTACGGGGAGCAAGGTCCACCGACAGATGGTGAAGGCAATATTGACAAAAAAGCCGTTTTCGTTCTTCTGTATCCCCGCGGAATGTCGAGATCATCCAGCAAAAAACCAAAACATCAGGGGAAAGTAAAGCTCAAAAGCAAAAAATCCAGCGGGACACTTTGGCAAGCGGCGAAGAAGATGGCAGTAAACGTCATGGTCGAATGTTTTCCGTGCTTTGGCCGTTGGGTCCGCGAACGCCGAAGACACAGGCGATCCAAAGTCGCTCCATGAAACGATTAGTTTATCAGTCACTTTCGTACTATACAAGCCGTGTTGAAGAAAAAGTGAAACAGACTCTTTAAACCCTAAGAATAGCTCCATAATTGAATGCATATGCAAGAGCTGTCGTTCTATCGTTGCCTGCAATACGGATACAACCCCTTCATAACGGGGGCGAGTATAGTGTAACGGTAGATATCTAGTTACTCGACCAAATAATCTCACACCTCTCGAAGGATCAACGAAAGTGTTAGAAGACTACACCCTTTTTGATGCAATTTTATATATAGACTAGCTCGATATAAACGAGCACACAATATGGAACGAGTACAGAAATTCAGAGTAAGATTGAAGTAATAGTATTTCTAAATCTGAATCTCAATAGTTCAAACATTGCCCTATGAGAGAATATGAAGCTTTTAATACCGGGAACTTAGTAATCACAAAACATGATACTTTAGATCCACCGCTTCTCAAGTTATCCTAATCCAGCTTTTGAAACTAAATTGTACTACAATTCAATTAAAAACATATTTAATCTTCAAGCGAGTAAGAAACGACCCCTGACGACCTAATACCATGTGATTTATTGGCTATATAATCAATATTACTGAGTAAACCATTAAAAAGATAACTTTAGATATCCTCCTGTTATATAAGTAGTAGCAATAATTATAAATCTACCGCGCCATTGTGCCTGTTGTTATATATATAGATATATATATATATATATATATATATCCATAAACGCTGACAAAACCGTGATATACGAAGCAATACAAGATTCACTTTCAGATATTCTTAGGTACAATGAGTAGACGACGATTCAATTTATACTTCGTCGTAGACCTGTAACTATTGCTTGAGTATTATACAATATATACAGATTATACATAAACATAAAGTTCCCGCTTTGCGCCGGGTATACAATCAATGACAATGCAACGGATTTTAAACTGATTTACTTTCATATTTTTCGATGACTTGGAAAAAGCAATGCTCTTGAAAAACCTAATTCATCTGAGGAAAAGATGCGCGGCCTTTTAAGGGTAATTTCACTATTGTTACTAAACAATAGGGTTTTAGGCCTCATAGGCGGACTACCTTAAAGAATTATAACTAAAACATGCTTGTTTTAAACAAAAAAAAACATTTTCATATATATTGGATTCTCGAAGAAGTATTAACCATTTTTAAGTCAAAATCGAAGCAAAGAATAATTCATTAGAATTTTAATTGACGATCTCCTGGTAACACCATAATCCCATTGCTGTGAAGCTTCTCCGATTGTCGGGTAAAAAAATTGCGACAAGTGATTTTTGCATGTTTTCATTGAGTCTAAATGTAGACCATTAAGGAGGGCCTGCAGAGACTGAAACAAAAGATATTTTGATAATGCAAGATGCAGGTTATACGGCATTTGCATTAAAATTTGTCGTACGATTCCTCCAGTTGTGAGTCAGTGTCAGTTAAAGATGTATATGCTCTGGCGTCATTGTGATGGAAGACGACGCCCTTTTTATTCACTAGTTCCCGTTGATTTTTTTCAATGGACTGTCTAGTTGTTGACAGCAGAGGTCTGGTTTCGATCGTTTTGCCAGATGGCAGCAATTCATGATGCGCGATTCTTCTCTAATCGTATCAAATACATAGTAACACCTTCTTTGGCGTTAGTTACTAGTAATTCTGGAACACACTTTTTTATTTGCACTTTATTATTATATGTAATTTATTTAATCACCATCCATGATCGACCGCTTTAGAAATAGATCGGTTTTATTGCGTATCTTTAGAGTAAATTATGTTACCTCAATGTGTGTGGCACCCAAACATCAAGGTTTTTGCAACCAGTGACCTTCAAATGATTAAAAACTGTTTGGAAGTAAATGTGTTGTTCTTTGCCAGTGTTATGGCTACTCATGTGTATGTCTAGCTCAAATTTCGAAATGATTTTATCAGTTTTCTTCGGAACTCGTCGACCACCGGGAGAAGCATCTTTCACTTAAAGACAAAACAGTCTTTGGTCTATTTCCTCCGGTAACGTCTCATGTTTATGAATAGCAGCAATTTTTTACGGGTCTTTTTACGTAAAATGTTTCTTTTCATCTTAATCAAAATTGTCGAATATAGGAAATGATCGCCGAACTTTTTTCTCATCCTCAAGGATTATAAATTTAAATGACGGCATTTCAGCACATCTACTACAAATTGTCGACACAAATGCCAACGATTCATATTATCTTCACTTAACTAGGACAACGATTAATTCTTTTTTGACAATCCAATGTACACATACATGATGCATAACCTGTGGAAAGATCTTGTTAGTTAACATAAGAGTAAGTAGTAAAATTTTTTGACAACAAAGTGTGAAGATTTTTCAGGGGAACTAAAATGGGCGATGAGATTATCTAGTACCTTCCTAAAAACAACAATCCACCTGATCTCTTCTATAAAACACGATGAGTTGAATTTCTATGTAGGATAGTTGTGAATGCTATTTCAATCTACTAGCGTTCTTAGCGTTAGATACGCGAAAACAAAAAAAGACAAAGAAAATGCTTTCACTTGCAAAGCAAGCGCGTTGTACACGCTTCTCAGGGAGCAGAAGGAGAACAGATGGCTTTATTCCTGGAGATTGATGATCTGCATAGCTTATGAACTCCTGAACTTTGGTACATCGCATAGTCGGCATGAGCAGCAAGACAGACAGAGTATCTCCTAGCATTCGTTCCCAAATAGCAGCACCATGAAGTTCGCTATCGGTTTAAAGTATAATAGCGAATAGGCTGGAATTTCCAGAATCTGATTTAATATTACATAGACCATTGTTTGCGCCATCGCAGCGCAGGGCTCTGGATGCTGAACCGACAGACGACTATATAAGATCCTTAATGAAGCAACGAAATTTTGGTGCAAATTGATTGAAGTAGGTCCTTGATTGTGAGCACGATTGATCATGATCATAGACCAAATTAATTCTCGTACCATGTCATAGTAGAGTATCACGTCCGACCGCAATCGCCCTACGCGCCGATACTTCATCGTATCGGTAAAGCCTCAGTTTGAGTATTGCGTCCACCTTCGTTATCTTGCATACAGCTCACATGTGTCGCTAAGATTCGTACGGGACGTTCGTCATGACAAGGAGTTCCTTCTCTGGCAATGTCGGGGTGGAACTCAGCATTGCTGACTGACACTGTGCATGTATTTGTGCTGAAACAAAAAAAAAATGGATTCCTTACCACGCTGCCATGTCTATGAAGGGATCGAGGATCCTTTTTGTGTTTTTAAGATCTGATTCAACAGATCAATCTGTCTCGCAGATTCCGAGACAGGTGCACTAATAAGAATTATAAACAAAGTGCGAATATTACTGTTGTTCATATTTAATTTGTGACGATTGTTATTTGCCATTCAACATTGGTAATCGACGTTTGTGCAAAAATAGTGATCAAATGCTGGCTAAACAAACATCTGATTAACTTCATTGGCATGACGATGTAATTTAAGTTACTAGAACAAGTTAGCAGAGAGGCCATATGGAGCGCAACGGAGAGGAATTATCACATATCAAAATTACAAATGTGAAACCTATTAAACTATTGCTTGTCTTTGCGGCTATGTTTTAATACTTACTAGGATTCGAATACCTACAAATGTTCATGCGGTGGAAATATTCTTTAAATGTCTGAGGAAGGTGTTCTAATCAGAATCAGTGCTTAGCTTCCATATTTTGTTTACTTCGCTGACTGAACCATATGGAAAAGTTGAGCTTGCTTCAAACGCACCTCTGTTACGATAAAGAGGACAGTTTTACTCTGTATTTTGCATCATTCGCAGCAACCAGCTTTGCGAATGTTGCCACAACACGTAACATTAAGATTTTGAAGCATGATAACTCTATTCTACAGTAAACGGCATTGTGACACATCTCAAAATGGTCGATCACAGCAGAATAACTTCTGTTAGTAACTTGTATCTCTTCAGCCTCGATCGGCATCGCTGCTGCAAACGATAGAAGAAAACACATAACGCAAGATATGTATGCATAATATAATTTCCCTGTCCTGAGCTACCGCTCCCTTCATATAACGATGTTGTGAGGACAGACGGTTACGAATTTGGACCATATATGTCCCATCTATATGTTAATCGATCATCTCATTGCCATGGGTACCACAGAGGTAGCAGATCGTGATTAGTGACTATCACGGGGAACAGGAACTATGTTGGTAAATTTAAAATAATGACGATGGAAACGAACAACAATAATAATTCCATTTTGTTATTTGCGTTGCCACTCTATCTATATACACAGCGGTTTTATTGCCTAGGGAAAATCAACTGACCCAATTTGAATTGAAAGGGATATGAGGCTGATTATTCTTTTCACTGGCCACTTGAAGTCTCCATATTTCGTATCATTGTCCGTTTGCGCAACCGTGATCAGAGTTCCAAGACGAGCTTTGCACAGTACGGTTGATAATCATAACCAAGTTCTTGGTTATAGCTTCGGGCAAGCACACGTTAGCTTTGAATGGATTTTCGACAAAACAGAAGCTAATGGACGAAAAATGAAGAATCACAGAACACGAGAATAAACGAGAAGCGATCGCCTTTCTGTCACTTTATGAATGAAAGGCATCCCTGAAATAGAATGTGATATCGGACTATGACGGTGATACGCCATCAAAGGTTATTTGATGTGATTTTATTGAACAAAGAGCAGCTGCACCCTGTTCAGACACACTGGAAAATGTTATCACACCTCAAATCATCATCCTTTGACCACCCGTGTTAACTTATTTTGTTTAACTCATTTAAACTGATATCGCTTGTATAATGAAAACTTGTGTGGTATATACGGTCGGCGGAGGGTTTTGATGAATAAACTGCATCGTACAGAAAAACTCATAGCTTGGTAGTAACAAAATTGAGGATCACACACACTTCTGGACAACTGGGAGTACGAAGTTGATTGGATTCGGACACAAGGAGTCTGAACTGGATGGTAGTTAGCCTTTGACCCGATGTAGAAATACCGGGGGCGACATAAAAATTAATGCAAGATCAATATATATTAGCAATACATTGCCCTTATGAAAACAAGAGTAGGGCCCCGCTCAAAGCTGGCGAAAGCTTCTATCCGAAAGTGCCATTGATAAAATGCTATCGGTAGAAGCTCTGGCTGTTCGCCAACAATACTCAAAGTTTGTTTAAATCGTGCGTGGTTTGCCGTTTACAAAATACGAAGGAAACACTTGGATAATAGAACAAGCCGACTGCACCAAGAAGTACAGAAAATGTATAACAATCAATTCGTCGAAAGATGACAACCAACACAAGCAAATAAATGTTGAAGCCTCGAAGAAGCTGCGAAAACTCACTTCCTTTCAATCTCTAGACAAGCAGAGTTATTCCTGTGATTCTTGAAAACATAAACGTTGAATTTAAGCGCTATAATTTTTACATAAATATAGTCACATATGAAAGCCGAATTTAATCTCTGAAAGCTTAATTAATATTGACCTATCTGTAGTGTAAGCTTTCAGTGTTGGCTGACAAGACGTGCTAACTAGCGATTTAACTTTCACGCAATTGGCGTTCAAGCGCCCTTCAAGGTTAACTATGCCGACAGGGCCAGGAAGTCCTTCAAAATTATCCACAATAAATGTTAAGCTAATCTTTAAATTAATCATATATCTAATTATAGATATGATTATATATATATAATGAGCGAAAGATAATTATTTTAGTTCATCGGCATTGCTGGACATCTAAGCTACTATTACAAACGTACTTATCAAGAACTATGATGTGAATACGAGGAAATTTCAGGCGAATTGGTATATGTTTATAAACACGCAGATATCTTAACAATAATAATAATAACGGCACTGTCGGCAAATTAATGAACAAAAGAGCTGGTGAGGTACTTTTTACAAAAGCTGAAGTAACGACAGCTCTTATTCTGGGACTCAGGGAAGCAAGCTTGCGCTGGACAGCTGGACTACCTATATAGAAAAATACATATTGACATGATACATGAACAACGTATAAATAGAGTAAATAAACTGAGAGCAATAGAACTAAATAAAGAAACGCTAATAAAGTAATTACTGTTAATAAAATATCATTGTCGTTGTTTTACTAACAAGACACTTCCAGGTAGTAATAATAATAATAACAAGTATCATTGATATTACAATTATATGACGGTATCGAAATCGTAAGCTTGTATGAGAACTAAAACGTAAGGATTTCTAGCAACATACTTACGCTAAGTTGCATTCTACATCAGATCTGCATGCTAAAGCCTTGAGTCCTCATTTGCACATCATACTGAGTTTTTCTATATTCTATTTTCTAATGCGTTTAGCTATTCCTACCGTGTAAACAAGTCCTCGGAGCCACGTCGTCGGTATAATATGAAAGGACTGCCTTCACTAAAAAAATTCTATACTCTAACCGTAATTCACAAATGTTTAATTATATAGTAATATTATAATTAACCCCTTTATACGCTATACAAAAAAATACGCTATATTCGTGCGTATTTTTGCATGCAATTAGCAATATTCCTTTATAATAATAATATTCTTATTCTTAGAATAATAATTCAATCCAGTTAATGTAAGCTAATAAAATCGCCACCATTGTCCGTTCAAGTAAGTGCTACCTAAAACATTTTCTACTTTCAACCAACTCGTAAAAAACATATAACACATTTTTGCGGCGTTTTTTTTTTCTAAATGTATATGAACATTTTATTTCAATCTGTGTGATAACGACCGCACCGAGCCGTTTCGTAATTATTTCTTTCGCGATTTTGTTCCATTTACGTAGATCATTATCTATCGCCACTCGTTGCGTTTAGCAACATTACGAATAATTCAATGATTATTATATAATGTGAAATGCAGGAGAGCCATTGAAGGTTGTTTCTCTTTATTCCAGCAAGCCTTACTGTGGCCCGTTGATCAGGCACCGTTAATCTCACAATTGCACGAATACTTTATTATTGCTACCATTTGTAGCTTACAACTACTACTAGACCCGTTACTCTTCTCTGTCAGTTATTTAATAAGTTTATCTATTTATGCAGAATTTGATTCATTGACAATACCACTGGCGTGTCACGTGCGCACCTCGTGTTCACCATATCATTACATACTAATTTCAATGCAAACCTTGTTTCGTATCAGCACGCATAACGTTCCTGAATGTAGTTATGGTATCATGTCTAGTAATCTCATTATCTCGTGATAGCATGAGCATAAACTAATAATAGCTTAAAATGTGATACATGCACTCAGAACTCCTATTAAATTCATAAATACACGCGAAAATCATCAAATATTTCCTCATCGGCAACTTTGCCAACTTATTACCAGAAACGAAACAGTTCTCCCAAAAACAAATCGAGAAAGATGTAAGCTGAACTCGGTTCAACAAACGAAAAACTCGCTCTGCTGCATGACGGACACGAAAGAGCACTTGGTGGATCAAAGAAAGGACATGCAGAGGCGTTAGGGACAAACAGGAACATCCATGCTATCACAGCTGAATAGATAATTGCAGGCCAATTAAAATTCCATTGGTGAATAGTTTTTGAATGAACGATGACACATGGATATTCAACTATAGACCGGTTTGGGTGGACAAACAATAATAGTCAATACGTTTGTATCTAATTTTAGAATTGGGATGCTTTATAAAAATAGAGACAGTTTAACATTTGTATTGAACGAGCATCGATGATTATTAAATCATGTTGATACATTAGCCTCTTTTATAGTATTTTATATAGGCCAAATACCTATTCACTGCAGTATAATAGAAACACACCTTAGTGCGAACCATCTATAGCAGTTCACACGATTCTACACTCGCTTGATTGGTATGTCCCTTGAGAAAAAAGAATGTATACCAACGAATAAAAATACGTCATCCGAGAAACAATTTGAGAAGTGCACGCTCTGTCGCATTGACGTTATCAATGATTACGGTTGACGAGCTCAATAGCTTACGAAATATTCATCTTGCTCTGTATAAAAAAGCTAGCGGAAAATAGTGGGTTTAGAAGGGCTAATGAGTTCGCTAAAGATGTATGCGATCATCCCTAAAAATTAAAAGCAAAATATTTTTTCTGAGGTAGACTCGTTCCAACACGAAATAGTTGCTTAGCTGCCAAAGTGTGCTTAATGTGACCTGAAGAAGATCAGAGCAAACTCACTTTTCGATGTGCCTCAGTTTGTCGGTGTTGTGTATGTTTAAATTTTCCCTACAGAGGATCTTAGTGAATAATATCATTTTTGAAAATGCCTCTTTCTTGTTTGTTTCAACATTTTCTGATCGTTATAAATTCAAAAAACAAAAGCTCAGATACGAAGAGATACAGTCACTTCTTTTGTTCTAGCAGAGGTCCGCACATAAGCGGTAGCAGATATGTGCATAATTGGCGTGGGCACTGCTGCCAGTCAGGTCGTGCTAACATTAGACACACTTTTCCTATCTACGGAGAGGTGGATATAAATTGCCGTAATTCGGGAATCATCGTCATTCATCAACGTCCTGTGCATTCGAGCTGTTAGAGCTGATCTCGTTCCCCTCCAGAACAATTAGAATGATCATGCTATAAATTATTGAAAAAAATTTTTAAGTAGGTAAATTGTGCTACTATCTGCTTCATTCATATCTAGCGTTTTTGTTATCTTTTTTTTTTTTTTTTTTTTTCTTTGATAGTGGGTTAACTATTAAATCATAAACTAAATCATAGGAGCACCAATACGACATCATTTACTTGTAACTCACATACGTTAGAACTAAATGCCGAAAAGAAAATGAAGAAATAGAAAAATGAACTCATAATGCATGGGTACACAAAGTTATTCAATGATGAATTTATATCGTTAAAGGACGCTGAAAGATTGTAAGGTATGGGTTTCACTATGATACACTGTTATATGCTACTAATTCTACATTTTCGATGTTAAGTGAAAAATGACGACGGTTAGTGTCGTTGTCGGCGGCATTACGTTTTGGCTGAGCTAACTTGTCCGCGCATTCGTCTCACAATAAAACACGTCAGAATCGATTCCTGTAACGTATTTGCCGACTGCCTCAAAAGGGGGCACAGATTCATCGATTTTTCACTCCGTCGTGGGCAGAAATCTCATATATCAACATGTGGACGAATGTGAGCAAAACCATTAGCTTGCATCGTTGCACCACAGATGGGATCTGCACAGACGTTTACTTTTACGTTAACAGAATCATCATCAACATCACTGTTGTTGTTGTTGTTGTTGTTGTTGTTCGAGTGAGAAAGAGAGGCCTCTGCGTGCTCTACACATCGGTTTAGCTAGATTATTTTTGCCTTATCTTACTGCTCTCTAGCTCCCTCTTGTTAAAACGCACACGTTGTTTGTGTATTATTTAAGTGGGATGATGGATTTGGATAAATTCTAAGCGAAGGATACGCAATCCTGATTATAGTCCTGTATGTAATATATAATGATTGTTTATTCATTAAAATAGTATTTCACTGCATTACTAATGTTCATGCATAACTAAGGTAGCTTAAATTGCAGTAGATAGTTGCATGCGTTGAGTGGGGAACAGTTTAGACAGCCAACTATACTGTGTATCCCATTGTATAGACGACTCTTTTCGATTCCAACCTTTGAATACGGTGAACAACATCATTTGACAGGATACCGTAGACGTAACGAATCTTCATGGGAGGATGCAAAAACCCTTACAAATTGCACGGAAGCGTTTGACGTGTAACTGGCGGTTTCCGTATCTCAAGTTCGCACACGAAAGCGCAATAGTTCACTTGTACTGTCCATTTGCAGATCAGATTCTTTTCTGAGTCCTCGTTCGGCCATTGATAGGTCATGCCTTCATGTGCTCTTTTACATTACACGAGTACAGACTTCAAGGTGTTCCCGGAGTTGTAGGGGTACCTGGCGTTCCAGGTGGTAATATCGATTCACAGGATTCCTCGGCTATGGCACGTGTATTGCTGCTTTCTGATTTACTACTTGCTGAGCTTTTTCGTGGTGTCTTGGCCTCCTTTCGACTCGATGACTTATCACCGTCTCCAAGCACAACCCGTCGTACATGTTCTAAAATCAAGTCAACGAGGACAGAGATGGGTAATTAGTAAATCGTTGTCGATAACGATCTCCGATATCTAAACACGTCTCTTTGACTATATGCTGGAAGATTATATGCGTATCAATAAAACTTATAGCTTGCTTGACCCGATCACTATTAAAACTTCAAAAGCAGAGAAAACGAAGAACAATGGCAAAAGTACATTTAGGTACTTACAAAGAACAACCTGGCACGAGTCGAATATTGGTGTTGATAGAAAGTTAATAAGAAAGGTCTATGGGCGTGAAAAATTGAAAAAAATCCTATAGTGTTTAGTATTGCTAAAACATGTGCTATGAAATCTGGCCTACCGGGAGAAAGGTCGTAGGATCCTCGTGGTCGTATAAGACTAACAGGTCTACGAGCGTGTAAAACGGCAAAGAAGGTTGCATCATCCAGATTCAGCCGGTTTCGAGCCTCTCGCAGAGCAGCGTACCTGTCCATCGACCCGCAAGTTTCGTACACCTCGTACATACTGGAAAAGTGTGTACATGGATTAGATGAGAGTAGATTAAAAAACACCCACATTCTGCGACTATATTTATTTTGCATCAAGCTGAAACGACTCAACACCACTACAGTAGCGCGTTGAACATGAAGCATATACTACGAAAAAAAAAGGTATTTATTACAACCTTACTCAATAAAACTGTGCACTACGCTTGTCTTGAGAACTTCAACAATTGGAAAAAAAGCACTGAGGGTTAGCTCCATGTCAAAGCCAAGACCCTAGACGTCCTACTCCTCCTCCCGATTCGCGGAAATCGAACATATAATAATACTTGTTGTGATTTACATATGGATACATACAATGAGAAAAGTTTCCGTAATACTTTTGCTCCGTCGTCAGAGAGCTGTACGGGAACGTCGAATAACTGTTGAGGAGTGAGGTATGTTCCATTTTCTGCGGCATCGAGCAGACGTACGCCCGCGAAGAACGTACAGTATGTAACGTTCTGCGTTCGCGTGTTAAGTTTACGAGATTCGTTGAATACCACGAGCGCTTAAGAGATATTCAAGAATACAACAGTGAGTTAATATTATGCCTGAAGAAGCAACGATCAAATACGACCAAACTGGTACGAATGAAGAATAATCCAAACTTGCGACAATAGTTTTCTGTCAAGTGGAAGACATCTTGAACAAATAACTCCTACTACTTCAACAGTACAGCATGCATTTCCCAACCAGTATCGTGAATGATCTACTTACCGTCACTAGATGCCTGTACGGCCGGGGAAAGTGCTGTGAGAGAATCGTTGATCTCCTGGGCGGCCCACGGGGCAAGTACAACATGCCGCAATGTTGGAGGTGGTCGGCCGCTCGGAACGTTTGCCACCCGCAAATGGGCGACAAGCACTAGAAACGCTTCCGTCTAATAGACCCCAGAAAAGTGCGTGCGTTTGTTTTTCTTAGTACTAACATTATATAATAATTGTGTCATAATATGACCTTAAAAAAGTGGAATACAGATCACATTTTGCCGGTCCAAAGGCACATTGAACCTCGATACTGCAATAAAAAGGCTAAGACAATTCTAAACGAAATAGACCGAGTTTTTGACTATACCTGTGAGACACACTGTTGATACTGAGGAGGTGGAGGCGGAACAAGCTCTTTGAATTTACGGATCGCATTCAGCTGGTCAAGGTTCCTAAAGGCGAAGATATATATAAAAATTAGTCAATACGGTAAAGCGAAATGTTCTACGAACATTTGTCGCTTGAATTATGAGCGGAGCCTTCTTTTAAATAACATCGCTAATAATGAAGTTTGAATAACTTCATTTTAATAATACCGTGTATTTACATCGTTTCAAATTGTCCTTATGATTTAATGGCAGGCGATGTGTAGACAAAAGGTGTGCAGACTATAACTGACCATGAATTGAACACGCCCGAGAACGCTGCACAGTGAACGAAGTCATGCAGATCTTGTTCATTCTCAATTCCTGTCGTGGAACCGAAAAAGAGAGCTGGGAAGCGCAGGCGGTATGCACAACACAATGCTAGAACTCTTCGCGGCCTCGGCTCCTTCGGCTGAGTCACCAACTCCGGACTACTCGATTAAGAAAAGTAAAGAGCTATTGACTAACCTTAAGGCTAACAACATCGTTGACGAGTTAAATGCCTGCCCAATACACGCAGCCGAATTTATCCAAGTTCAATCAGAGACATTTATTTGAACGAAAGTTGTTTCGGTGTCGCTAAAGAGTTGTCGTAAGCTCAATCGTGATTGTACTGAAGGCTACGAGAGTAGCCATTTGTAGTCTATATCCTTAAGCATTATCAGTGTGGTAAAATCAACGAAGCGATTACCTACCGGCTATAATCATAAAGCGGCGGTAGGCCAGTGGCGTTTGAAAAAGCGGCAAAACGTTGTTGAACTAGTTCAAGTGAAGGTCTCTCCATCGTTGGCGGTAGTCGTAAGGCTCGTAGGGCACGCGCTGCTGACGGCTCAACATTGACATCTAACACCTCGGCCGACGAGTTCAACTATTGATAGATAAATGTCGTTACTGCACTTCGTTTCAATCATGTGTGTAAAGTTATTCCATCGTCGACCGATGTAGTTAGTATGGCCTATATCTGTATACGCCTCACTGGTCAAAATGAACACCAGGTGTGCTTACAATAATAATAACATAATCGTATTATACATCCTCATAAAACTAATGGCATTTACAAACCTTATTTCGCAAGACCACAAACACCTGTTGCGGGAAGGACACTTCAAGGCCATAGCATGTTGTTGGTGCTGTTGTTCCGTCGGGCTGTGCCAAAGCACGCAGTTGCTCGCCCCCAGGGAAATCCGGCGGTTGGTCAGCCGGTCTACAAGCGGCCATCAGGGCCCGTTTCTTTACATCGGTCTGTAATGGTAAGTATTTTGGTGGTAGCAACTTAGAAATTCACAAAATAAACACAGTCCCATTCCAGTGAGTACGGCTCGTTTGAACCGAAAGACGTTATTTCCTTGTTTTCGATTATGAACCGAAATGTATGATTTAATGTAAAAACAAAATCATCACCTGAGATAGCTGGTTATACACTATTACGTACATTGATACGTAAGAGACTGGAAAACTTTTTCGTAGCTTCTTGGATGCCTTTCCTCTTTTTTGTTACGCTAATGTAAGCATAGGTCATTCGTGCATAATTAGTCAATAAAATAAAACACTTACGCTCCAAGAGCTCATTTCGTCGCTTGATGAGTTTAAAGGACTGTTGCGTTTTGCTGGAGGACTAAGCGGAGCCGGAGACGTTATTTGATTAGAACTGATATTTAAGTTGTATCTCTCCGAGTTATCACTAAAGTTCGGAGATGATATTTGAACATTTTGGGCACTACACTGAGCTGATGTCGGATGTTGGATGTTGTGATCACTTGTTGAGGGTTCATGCCACATAGCAGCGTCCTCATCGGCAAGCTGCGCGAGAGCTTCCTCAATACTGATGACATTTGGCTGAGGCTGTGATATAAGAACCGACCGATTCGTCTGGCTGTTGTTGCCATAGGCGTAGTTGTTGCCGTTATTGTAACCGACATGCGTTCCTCCGTTTGTTATATTCGTTGTATGATGGACCTGTTGTTGCGACGGGTGTTGATAAAATTGCTGCTGCTGCTGCTGCTGCTGCTGCTGCTGCGGCTGCTGCTGCTGCTGCTGCTGCTGCATGGCATTGTTGTGCGCGGATGTTGTCTGCTGGCTGTAATCCATTGACTCGGAGCTGTTGCTACAGTTACTGTACATGGTCGGTGTAGTATGGGAGTCCATCGTGTGCAGATGATGTTGACGATATAATGGTGCGATTCTCACATTGTTCTCACGGATAAACACCGGCGAACTTCGGCCCCCCGACCATTGCTCTAGTACGCCTCGGCCCATTTCACTAGTTCCCGATGCAAAATCCATACTATTACTGTTCGAATTACTATAGCCACCAGGTAGTGCCGATGTTACAATTTGTTGTGGACTCGAGTAACTGGCAAACTGATCGATGTGTTGCTGCATAACACCTGGTAGCGCTTCATATTGCCAATATTGTGATGATGACTGGTGCTGCGCTACTTGTACTGGCTGTGATTCTTGACCAAGGTAATTATTATTATTATGATTCTTACTACAAATAGGCGAGGTGCTATTGTTCGCGTTGCTATTTCCATTGAACTGGTGTGTGGGGCTGTTCCACACGTCGTTGTTTAACTGACAAACAGGAGACGCTGCGTTAAAAGATGACACGGAATACTGCTGATTGCCGGATGAGCCATGTCCGCCCTTGATACCGGTTCCTCCTGTGGTTGACGGTATAGTTTTTGATTTTTGGCACTTCTTTGACTCGCTGCTTCCCGATTTGGACGGAGCTCGCTTTTCGGATACAGCAGTTTTTTGAGAGGTAGCACCATGAGGTGTTGCCGACGATGATCTTTTAGTAGAAACCTGCAAAGGCGGACAAGCGTATATCAAACAATAGGAAGTTACTCTTTGAAGATTTTCAAACCCTGATGGAGATTTCTCACCGAATTCACCTACTGCACCAAGTACATTGTTTCTTGTTCTTATCAATATCAGCACCGTATTCGGTCAGGAACAAACAGCCCTAGAAGGCACCAGAATATATTTTAGAATCGTTACTATAGCCAGTGTTTTTCCTTATTTATAGCCATGCTATTATATGGCGCTCGAGGCGTGAGAAATCTTCTGCAATCTAGTTTACAATTGCTTCTACAGTAATTTTGTTGTTACTATATGACACCAAGACTAACCTCTGATGATTTGGGTTTGGCCGGACGTTGTTGTTGCAGCTTGACTTTTTGTTGCGCGATCTGCTGCTGTTTCGAATACGCCTTTTTGCTGTCTGGCACTTTTTTGTTGATAGTCGTATTGCTGTTGTTGTTATTATTGTTATTTAAATCCGCCGTAGGTACCTGTACGGTGAGTTTTGGAGTTTTAGGACTTTCAGATGGAACCAAGGCCTCAGGTTTTACTGTGACATCAACGTTTGTAACGTTTCCTGTATTGGAAAACGATGCACTGATAGTGGGGACCTTTTCATGATGCTGACTGCCATTTAGTTTGGCATCTACAACGTCCTGAGCCGAAGTGGTTTCGCTTTCTCTAGCCATGTCCACTGAACAGATTTCCGCATTCAGCAACGACTTTCCAGCAGATAACACCGCGGGTGGAGCTTGCCTTACAACACTCGAATTTGGAATTTCAGCCCCGTCCCCTAACGGCAACGAACTTCCTTCGATATCGACTGGTTTCCTATCGTTTGCCTGGAATTGATCTTTTTTCCCGTCGTTCTCCAAAGGACGTTCCCGCCACACGAAATCGTCTGTAGCCTTTACTCCACTTCCTTCAACAGCTGCTGCAAGTTCTGCCGTTGGCAGCGTGTGACCGTTTTGGCTCTGGTGAGAATCCGTCTTTAACGCAGGCATAGTCCTTCGACTAGTCGCCTGTTGGCTTGCTTCTAGGGCCGGCCGATATCTCCGTGAAAGGTCTGGTACACTCGACAGCAACGAGCCGCTCAGTGAGTCCTGTTGGTCGTCAGCCGATGTGTACGAAGCCTGGCTTAGTTTGACAGCTTCAGCTTGCGAACCGGCGTATCGTCGATAGACAAGCTGTCGAAGATGTTCCATTACACTGGCACTGCCAGCGTCTGCATCAGGTGGCTCCGACGATGTAGTTTCGTCTCCAACCTTAACAATAGCACTACCACTGTGAGGTCGTTTATCATTAAGCGCAGCTTGTTCCGAGTCCACAATATTGGATACGGAGAGCTGGTGTAAACTCCGTCCGTAAGGCGTGTGTAATCTTCTTTTGGGTAATTTCTGCATTTGTGATAACAAATAATGACAATATCAATTAAACCGTTGATTATATGGCATATATTCCGATGGCCAAAAGAAAATTCTGGTAAGCCTCATAAGCAGCACATGAACTTAACGTTGTCTATTAGATAAGCTAGATTAAGGGCATAATAGCAGAAAGGTTCCTATTACTAACTTTCGTGTTAATTTTATTACGATCATTTATTTGGAAGCATGAATATCATTTCACGAGCTGCCTTGTAGGCCCCAGCGCGACGGTAAGGCTAATATGGATGTGTTGGTAAAAGAAATAACAAAATATCGAATAGTCGATGGAATATCCAAAAACCACGTATTTTAACGAATATACATAGATTCTGTATTCACTATCGACGGTACGTGATGTACGATGATCAACAGTAACCTGTGAATTGACGTTGGAGTTGCTACTAGCCTGCGTCTCCGTTCGACGAGCTCTTCGTGTGGACAGTCCTTCTTCACCTCCTCCAGCAGCTCGTTTTACACTCTCCTTATCTTGACGTTTGTTACGTCGAGTGAAATTCTTCACGCTATCGTCCGCTGAAGCAGGTGTAGAACTTAATAGTAGGTTTTGGTTCGTTAAGCTGGTAGCCCAGGGTTGGCTTCTAACCAAAACGACCAATTCATGCTTCACAAGTGTCGGATTATTGCGATAAAAGTAGATACTGTCGTCTTCCTCTTTAACGCTAGCCTTCACATTTTGACCAGGAGCTGCAATGTTATCGGAGTTACCGACACTGATTTGGTGCAGGTAGTTGTCATCTCCTCCTTTCTGTGTTTCTTCTGTGTCGTGGTCGTCGTTTTCACGTACTACTGGTGCTGCTTTTTCTTCTTCGTCACTGTAGTCACACAGGCCAAGTAGCTCTTCCTCTAGAAGCAACTGATGGTTATTGATGTCACTCGTCGCACCTTCTAGGTCCCCCCTGCTATTTACGGCTCTACTGCAATCGGTGTCACCTCTACGGCCACTTCGCACTGAAACGTCCGGACACCGGAGACGGTTATTTGGCTTATTGCGTAGGCTCACCATTGAAACGCCTACTCACGTCTAAATACCTAGCGTGACCAGGAGACAAAGTAAAAACTATTTCTGCTTTGCAAGTCACTGGACTCGCGAAAGCCTTTTGATGGTATCGGTTTGTTCGTTACTTCACACACATATTGGAATTGCACTAGTCATATCCGACGTAGTGTAGGACAGAAACGGATGCGCGAATAGACACTTCTATAATTATTTAAAATGAATTGGCTTAACGCCGCAGTTTTTACTAAGCCTGTCGTCCCGTCATCGTCAGCTTTAGGCAGTAGCTGAAATTTTTCAAATGCCTCCACTAGTAGACCTTCTGATAGTTTACCGCACGGTAAGAAGTGTCTCAAAAAGTTCTGGCTAAGCTTAGCAAGTCTGATTGGCAACGGTGATGTACTGTTGTGCAGAAAATGACCAAATCGGTACCGTGGTGACAACGACGCGGGAGTTCTCCAGACACTCTGGTCCGAGCATCCGAGATTAGCGACGATAGCGCCAGTAGCATCACACCACCATTACCACGCTGCCGACTCGTCATACAAATGGGGAGAGGTTGAAACAGGTACTAGTAGTGCGTTCTCCCGTTGCAGCGCCACCGGGCTTCTTACTCTCTTTACGAATAGATTCTATAGTAGTAGAGGTAGTCGCAGTGCTAGTAGCAATAATACTCTCGACGATACAGCGAGACGCCATATCCAGCGGCACGTCATATTAGTCAAGGTACAGATGCATACGCGACGCTATTACGCCATCTAACCCACCGACGCAGAATGCAAAGGATTCAACCATGTAGAACGGAGGCTTTTTTGGCTATTCTTCCCCATTAGGGTATGCTTACCAGAAAGTAGTATTTACGCTAAATGCTAGATATACATAGCTGGTGTATTTTTTGCAGAGGTAAACGCATACTATGTCACTAACGACAATAATACTAGTTCTTCTTCTAGTACAAAAACTTCTAGAAGAAGCTGTTGCGAACTCGGCTGAGCGTGTGCCTAATAGGTCGTTAAATTATGAAAAAAAAAAAAATTACCAACAACGTGTCGATGCTTAATTAATGTCACTCTGGGTTGACTCAAGAAAAAGCTTTCTAATCTTTCTCAGAGTGAAGGAAAATGTGTACTTGGAAAATATACATTTAAAAAATTACATCATACGACAACAAACTGTGCGGATCCAGATAGCGTAGCAAAAATACCTCTTCGGAACATGTTCACGTGCACATTTGAATAAATAGTTTAATTTAGCTCAAGAATTGTTTTTTTAGTTCATAGGGATAGCGCAATAAATGGCCCCACGCGCGATATAATCGCAGCTATACGATTTCTGGAAAGATTGCCATGTGCATGGCAACATAACGAAAAGATACTATACGAAGATTTTAATAAATTTCAAATTACTGCGAAAAAGTAGATATAACGTGCATTTGCGTTGAAATAAATATTCTAGTATCAGGCAAATACAAAATACTAACCACTCGCGAACAGCTGGCGGCGATCACTGGGGGTTCCCCTAAGAGCCAAAGCAAACAGATCACAGAACCTCTTCCGTTGATCGTCGTCTTCGGGTGAATGGCACAAAACCGGCCAGCTGGCTTCCTCCCTACATATACAATCCCATTAAAGGAGTATATTTTGTCAGATAAAATAATTATTATAGATAGAGTAGAGTAATAAACGCATCTGATGTAGCATAAATTCTTTTTATGGTCACTGCCCAGCAACATCTAAGCCTGCGGGCGTTACGTATTTTTCCAATCAACTAAGGTCGAATGCCAATATATATATATTATCTATGGTAAATGACAAAAGCTCGTGAATATGGAGTATAGCAAGATAAACCTGACGTCACACCCCTAGATAGGGCACGAGGGTTGAGGTTGGTTGACATTATCGATAATGATTGGGGCTAAAGTGTGAGAGCAACGGAAAGGGCAGCATCAATTGTTTGGATGCTGTTTTAGGTCAGATTGACCCTTCAACAACTACAACAACAAGACGATGCTCGCGGCATTGCTGTCCATGATTGGGTCCTGTGGTTCTTAATTAGGATGGTGATAATAATTTGATTGTAACGTTTGTGATGGGTGTTGTTGTACTTCTTTAGCTGATAGTGGTGAGGAAGGGGGCATGTAGTATATATTGCTTTGACGTTGATACGCACTCATGCGAGTCGTCGCTGACTTCACTACAATCAAAACTATGATCGATGCCGAAATTTATGAAAGGAGTCGAACGACTCCGATGCTCTAGCTGGCCAACAACCGAGAAATCTGGTGATTTGAGTTGCGGCTCCGAACTCGGATTGCGTTGGTGCTGTTGTTCAGGAGACGAAGGATTAGAAGGCGATTTGCGACGTTTTTTCTTAAAATGGCTACTAATCCCAGTGGCATCGTTCATGCCTGCCTCTGCAATTCAAAAAGAAAAAGATTACGGTTACTTTGATTGATAGAAATATGGATTAGTTTTATAATTATGATATTTAAAGACAATTTTTGTTAGGATTACCACAGTGCATAGCCTCATACTCAACGCTATAAAGTTTACTGTTAGAAGCGATACCATGAAAATGTGGTTCAACTGGAAAGTATATTTAATACGTAACAGACGTTTAAAAAAGGATAGATTAAGCGGTGCATTGATGTTTATAATAAACAATTTAAACAGCCTACCGCAAATTTATATTCCATAACTCGTAAAGTGAAACTTTTAGCAGCAATTCCACCGTAAGTCAATACGTCCCCAGCGTAAAATAGAGCTGAATATGAATGAAGGACTTACAAATGTCCTAGTTAGATCCCTAAAGAATTATACAATGATTATAGTTGAAATATTTAAAATAAATCGTGTCCATGATTTTTCGCATTACGTTTTTGATACAGGATTACCGATGGTCGCGCTAACTAAGGCATTCAACAAACGGACTATATTTTCGGCGGTACCCTTGAATACTTTCTGATCTGTACTTTCTTTTCTAGTAGAGCGCAAATAGGCGAAAATTACCCGTTTATCTATTGATAATATTTGCCCCTTTGTGAAAATACGATTGCATAGTGACGTTTTCATTAGTCTGACTAGGTTCGGTGCACTTCAATGTTATATACTGTCTGTTATGTATATAGTGTCTTTAACTCGAGTTTAATCGAAATAGTTATACCTGGAACACAGCCCTCTCTTCTCAACGATTTTCTGAGTAATCGACGACAAGCCAGTATTAACATGACATTGTTACGTCTTCTTCATTTACTTTACTTTAATGTGTATTGCTTACCGTATTTAATCACTGAATCAGGTGTCCTTTCAATTTAAGTTAAAATCTAAAGAAGCTAGCAGAAAAAGTTATTTGGTACCAAGCGGGAAATTATAAATCGTATCTACAGTAGAATTATTTACGCTTTATTGTGGTAATCTAGTATCTAACTAAATCGATCAAATCTTATAATATTCACCGTTGCAACTTTTATAGACCCATAGATACAACTAAACACCGCATCCGTGATTAAGTTTATCAACTACTTAATTTCGTATTAAAAGCCTCTCGATAATGAACTGGGCTAAAATTAGCTGACAGCCTTATTAGCAGGGCTGCAACTATATCAAAGACAGTAACTGGGTTTTTACCGTAAGTCAGGTATGTCTTCGTTGTTAATATATTATATTTCTAATAATAAATTCCAAATGCCCGTTAAATAACGACCATTTTTTACTTCGAAGACTTATCTTGGATCAAATTAAAAAAACTAGAAGAATTGATTTACACAAAGACGAAATCAGTCATAAAAGAAGAAACAACGGAAGCACCTAAGTGAGTGCTAGAGGGTTGAAGTTGTGAAAGCTGCGCAAACGCAGGCCAGACAGCCTTTGCTGAAAAACTTTTGTGCTTCAGTATCACTTCTATAGCCACCTAATAGCACTATGACTAGCTTTATTGAACAGTGAAACCCACGTTTATAAAGTAGATTTGTATAGAAAGGTTACAAAAGGCGATAAAATAAACGCCATTTTGACCAGAACATCGAACAGATCTAATAAGACAGTGAGAAATATGTTAAAATGTTCGAACTTGCACTGTAAAAGATTAAAAAAAGTATAGCCTACACAATACGTTCGACCCGACATGATGGTATCAGTGAGTATCTGTTCGCTTGAACTAAGATCAAAGCGTATCCTTTGTCGATTAGTAGCGTTGGCTCTCAGAAGATCTTCAATTGGTACAAATCATTTCTTGTACCAATTCAACTGACATCGTTGTCCTCTAACTACTCCCGAACAACAGATCCAATGGAAACATATTTATCATGTAACTGTTTGTCTCTAGTTTGCTATCAAGGAGCTAACGCGCCTGCATTAAGCGTTTCATAGTTCATTGTACTTTGAGCGTCATCAACACACTGCAAAACCACGAATTCACTGTTCTACCACAGCGTCTGTCAACGCATTGACAAAGTTTGTTGATTTCGGTGCAGAAATTTGCACACCGAAGACGCACTGGGAAATCACCCTTTGTAATCAGTATGACAGCGAGGTGGCGGAAAAACGGAACATGTTATGACTGTGCTCGAAGAGTCAAAATGCTTGCAATAGAAAAATTACATTTCGTACTACTAATGAACACCGACTACTATCACGAAATTGTCGGCTAGCTATAGACATTTTTAATATGTTTTATATAAGTGTTTAATGTGTTTTATCTGTGCGGTTCCGCATCCCTTCTATTCATGGCAGCACTGCAATATGCTGTAGAACGTAGTCTCTTCGTTTCATAACTCCTGGTCGGTGATGTTTTAACGACTCGTAAGGGTAACCCCTTGAATGGTGTCGCAAAAGTATGGAAAAATTAGAATGCGGCCTAATAGAATGCGATTGGTATCATTGCACCATTTTTGTCTGCTCGGGCCTCCCGCTCAAAGCGAAAGATAAACCCATCTCTGTCAAAGTTTTCAGAGCGGCTGACTCCTTCCTGCCCCGCTCGGTAACACCCCACAAAAGTAATCAAAGGAGTAAATGTCAAACCAAATTTATGTTTAAATGTTGCCCTGCATACGCGAAGACGCCGCGACATAACGTTTCTTCTCGAATTCCTGCCAGCGCCGCCAGCAACAACGGTGGCAGCAAGACAGTAGATAGTAGTACCCCCAGCTTAAACGGAAATACTATGGACGACAAAATAGCCGCTAAAATTAACCATTGCCTACAATAAACAGTTGAGTCGTAAAGTTCAAAAAAGGATTCGTCAACAACGGGCTATCCCAACATTTGTCCACCATAGTCAGGCACATTATGTGAAAAAAATACGCCACCATAATCTACTCATGTACAGAGAGACACATATACGCACACACTCACGCACGGGCATCCATGGTACAAAGCAATGTATTATTAGTTCGCACTTGTAATAGAGCACATTTACATTAAACAGTGCACAGCGGCCTGGCGCTACACCAGGCAAACAAGTCGTCGAGTAGCCAGTAGATATCATGCATGCATGTACCCGGTCACGCACACACACACACAGACACACACACACACTGATAGACAAGCCGCCAGTCACAAACACGACAAGATGAAACAAATTATAAAAACAACATACACACGGAGACATATAGAGCATTAGTCCATCCGTCCGTCCGTCCGACAGTTGAGTCAGTCCAGCCAGACAGGCAAGGAGCCACAAGCGAGCCGTCGTAGTCATTCACTGGCTCGCTCAGTTGCTCACTCGCTCGCTCGCTCGCTCGCTCGCTCGCTCGGTCGGTCGGTCGGTCGGTCGGTCGTCAGATATTGAGTACAACGGCAGCAGCGGTAGGAGCCCCAGCGGCACTAGCAGCTACGCCAGTAACGGCGGCGGCAGCGGCGGCAGCAACAGCATCTCACCAGTCGCAGCAGCCTCGGCGGTAGGGGCAGCCTAAGCATCACATCAGCAGCAGCGTAATTTACTTGGCATCGCCAGCAGCGGCAGTGAGCACCCAGCAAAAGAAAGCGGCGGCGTCATCGTCATACCGATCGCGTCGCCGCTGTTGTCGTCTGGCCGTTAACTGCTGCTGATGCTGGTTCGGTCCCCGCACTCACTTACCGTTTATTCTACAAGTACATTACGGCTTTCCCGGCATGTTGCCTGCTTGTTGTGCCCTGGCCACCTGGCCGTCCACCTCAATAGCGCGCCACAGCCACTCACAGCTGCAATAGCAACAACAACGATGGCGGCAACAACGATGACGACAATAAGAACGCCACTATGCAAGTGCAGGCCCAGTCACGCAACATACACACAAGTGAGTTCTATTTACTACAACTATTACCCGTAGAAGCCAACAGTAGTGAGCTGGAAAGAGCGATGCTCACACTCACGAAGAGAACGCTTCAACGAGGTACACACACAGCCCGGACCCCTCAAAGGCGCAGACACGACCCGAAGTGAGCAACAGAGGGCGATAACAGCGAGAGATAGGCGAGGTCCGTTCAAAGTTGTTAAACGACTCTTTCCCGGCAGAGTCCAAAAAAGAGGCTTGTTGTGTTTGAATGAATGCATTAAGGTGTTGGGCGATAGCAAACCTGGACAGCAACGGGCGACTTACAACCAACGAATTTTGACGTACGCTAGCCGAAACATGGAATCATATGTATATTTTGTATTACTGATAGCAAATTAGCACAAGATCTGATCAGGTAAATCGGGAGAACGAACCGAGAAAGACGAAAGAGGGAACTATTCGAGAAGCTTTAACGTTTGATATTCGAAACTTTACAAATAAATAAGGCTAAAAATATAAGATAGCAGGCTAATAACCATTGCTAAAAAAAGGAAAATGCCACAAATGACCGTAGCAAAACTCTAGAAAAAAAATTGTCACAGCCAAAAATGGTTATCGTTCATTCGTGCTCGAATGTCTTGAGGTGAAAATTAATCGAGGGACAATCAACTAATATAATCTACCATAATAGCCGGGAAGAGAAACATTTAGTTGTACAAACACGTTTTGTATATTGAAATGATTGAAACGCTTTTTCAGACGGACATATTCAACATTCAATTCAGGCCAGCAGTGACAACAACAAACATTCATTGACCCAACAGATAATTCTTTAGTGAAATTTTAATCAAGATACTAAATAAATGAAATATATAACAAGTTCTGTGATCAGCGAAATACACCAAACAGAGATAGCCAGGCCAGGCCCATGGGGCAGATAAGACGTAAGACAGAAAGAGATCTAATGGCCCGATCCCATAACTCGGGTAATACAGGCAGATGGCTGATTCCGCTGTTATCCTGAGCACTGTTTTATAGATTTGACTTGAGTATCAACATTTGACAATATTGCTAATATTACTCTCTAGTTGACACATAGCCGAGCTGAAGCCGGGATCGGACGACTATGAATGCGAGGCAGTATAGAATTGGGCGTAAGTTTCTGAGGTTAGGAATAATCACGAATAAACAAATGCAATATATATATTTTTTTTACCAAATCTGATTCGGTACCATGACACTTTAGAATGCGCATTTTTTTAATACAATTTAATGTAAGGCTTTAAGAATCCTGTCTAACAATTAACGGTTATTTTCTATTCATTACATAGCATAATCTCAATGGAAATTTCTAGATTTTCACGTTCAAATATGTCACGTGCCGTCTAGGGTGTTGTCATTAGGAATCGAGCGGCAAAATCACCAGTTTGCTCTAAACACGCATGAAGGCAGTATTATTATAGGTAACGTGCATTGCAGGGCTCATGGACCTTAAAGATTTGCGCGTGATAAATAAATAGTACAAATGATTTTTTTGATAAACCTGAGGAAATATTTATAAAATCCAAACAAAAATTTGAGGATTAATGTAACTAAAATTTACAAGTGGTAATTACAGTGACAGAAGTGAATTAAATAAGGGACTTCAGGTGAATACGAGCAGTAGGAGGTACATGAGACCTACGAGAAGCGTATAACAACCTAATCGACTTCAATACTCACATTGTTAAAAATGGCGCAGAGTTTACCAGAGGGTTTATACTCAATATTCTAAGTTAATTAGGGTATCTGACTAATTTTATTAAAAAAAATCTTGCTGAATGAACAATTTGTGTGCTATTTTTAGCTAGCAATTAAAGCTAGTAACCTACCTGAACAATTTTAATATGCCAAGCACGATTTTTTGAACTTTAAATAACCTTGAGAGAATATTAAATTATTTGAATTTAGACCAGAAAATACTGCTAACTAGATTGCGATAAAGCAAGTTTTTAGTATCGGCAATAAAAGAAGAATTTTCCCATGCATCAATATGTGAGTCGTACCAGGAGTATGCACGATTTGTCGAAAGTCTTCGCGCAGAGAGATCATTAAGCCGAGGTCGCAATGTTCTTTGAATACACGACATCTATGGCTCACAACATTATGGAGTACTACACGGGTTCAGGAAAACCGGGAAAGGGTTATACGGGTTAGCTTTGCAGAGTTAGATTAAAATTATCTATCTTTAACGAAAAGTCATGTCCATAGTATTTTATTCTATTTGATTCGATCGTTTGTATCGAGTTGTCTCTCTGATTAGCCGTCAGATAAATGCTGTCAATCAATATATTCCTTTACTGTATTTTTGTCCGCAAATTTAGATTTCTGCTTAGTTTTAGGCAGAAAAAAATTTCTTAAAGCAGATGACAGTTCAACAAGCATGCCCAAGCAGAAACACTAAATAAAGTTAGACGATCGTCATTTTTGGTAAAATATATATTGACACTACTTATGTGTTTTGTCCCAGTTTCATTTCAAAAATCCAAGAATTTTTTTTAAGCTCAAATGTTATTTTCAAGTTCACTAACAGCTAGCAGCATTGTTGAAAAAGTATCGCTATATTACGCTATTTTGGTTGGTGTTTTTGCCAGCACAGGGCCGAACCGAGAGGACACTCCGTTGTTCGCGTGGCCGACTGTCGGCTTGGAGTCCGTCACATTTGGCGGCCATGCGGCTTCGGTTTTGTATTCAACGATGAAAGCCATCGACAAGTGCGGCTACAGCCTCGTACCCACACAACGTTTATCGCCGTATAAAACACTCAGTTTCGAGCTTTTGAGCTGAGGTAACTTGTTACATTTAATATATGTAACAGCTCAATCTAGTTCAAGATGGTAGAAGAGTGAGCCCATTACGGAAAGAAGACCCTAATGTTTCTACACTAAGAATGGAGTAAAATGGAATGATTAACTTGAAATCGTTGCCTGATATCTTGTTCGAGCCAATTTTGACTTCGATTACTGAAATCATATTTTCTATAGACTATGGCTTGACGTTAGCTGATACCCAAAAACGTCCGTTTTCAAGGTTAGATCTTGAGTTGCTTCCTCGAACTATCCACTTAGCACTTGTGCGCTACTTCTCGCACCTTTACGCAGTTTAATTGATTATGACGCCGTTAAGTTAACATAGCTGCAAGCATTCATTTTTAGAGAATTTAGCAAATGCATCTGTATCGAGAGATTTTTTTTGTGACTAACCATTTGAGCTAACCTAAAACTCTTAAAGCGACTATGGCTTTTCGAGATGACATAAAACTGTTCAGTGGCTACGTATAATCAGAATTGAAGTAATTTTTCTGTACATCAGCACGTTTCCCTTAATTTGCAGTAAAAAAAAAAACAACACTATGAAGAGTTCTAGAGGTTATAAGAAATAGCTGAGTTATAAAGCATCGTCGTCATCGTCTAGATGGGAATTTCGACGAAATATTGGTCGGAAAAAATTAAAAAAAAGAACGATATAAATTATTGTATGTCAGTGATAAATTGCATTAAGATGTCAGTGCAGAAGCACACGAAACGGCGTGTAATGCCGTCGAACGCTCCACCAAAGTGACAAATGGCTAGCCTTGCGCATTCAATAGTGGAAGCTGAAATATTAACGGGAAATGAACTGATATTTGAAGCGGCGTCTTTATCAACTGCCAACTGTTTCTTTTGTGAATTGAAAACTTATGTAACACTGCACAGACGAAGGGTAATTCGATCATAAAACTTAGTGTTAATTATCTACCTGCTGGAAGCTAATATAAGAAAATCGTGGACTCTCTTAGAAAGTCTATTTAAGAAGATTGCCGTAATATCTAGTCCATTTTAAGTGCTTCGTGGAATCTTTCTGTAAATTGCCTAGTCTTTGCTGGTAGGTTAGAATAAAGAACTCTTAAATGCTATGATGTCGTAGGCCCAAATAAGTGTAATACAGGATCTTTCTTCCTATCGGGCGTCTGTTAACAATATAGCCTTGGTTAGCAAGTAATACATAGGGTATTAATTCGAAGTGTTTTATTTTTATAGCTATCGCGTGCGATTTCATCTATATTTCAGGTAACCTTCTCTTCGTATAACGGGCCCAGTGCAACGGATCCTAGACACACTTAACTAAAACTTTTATTTAGTTCAAACTTAGTTGATATGTTCTGAAGATATAGCATTTTCTATATAAATACCACAGTCCTTTTATTGCTGTTATTGTTTTTGATGTCAAGTTTATCGTTTTTTCGAGAGGGAGAGAGAGATACCGTTTTCAGCGTTTCAAGCCGTTTGTTTATTTATTTTCCCATAATACGAGATTATAATCTGAATAAGGATAGTTTTTCACGTGATAACAAAGCGTAGCATTCAACTCTCATGTCCAAATTAATTGATCACTTCTCGCCAGTGAAAAACCTTGTTCGGAACTGAGTTTGTCAGTATCGGAAAACATCTGAAGAAAACAGTGATTGCAAAAAAATCTCCCATTCATCCTTTTGTATGGCAATCTGGCTTAATTCTAAGTGTATCTTTCCAAGCTACGCGAACGTGTACTTTACAGCGCCGTCAAGACATCGTTTGTCATCATCCGTAACTATTTTGTGAGCAACCATGTTTCCTCGCGTACAGTCTATCGGGAATCTAAGCTTTTAAAGTTTTATAGGTTTATATGTATGTATGTATGTATGTATATTTTACCATCACTCAAGGAGCTTGACAATATCCAAGGGTCTGCGGTTCATGTCCTGAGCCAATTAGAAGCTCATTTGCCATTTGAAGTTTTCCTTACCTCGGATAGCAGATCTAGGTGGGGTACACATTCTAGGTTCGAGATCCCAGCGTTAGCTTTAACAAACCCTACCAATGAATTCTCTCAGTTATAGAGTCCTTGATGTACACGGCTCAAAGACCTAGGACTGCTTTAGGTCTCTTTGGTCTAAATCAAAGGAAAAATAAACTAAGTATAGAAATGCTTTCTTGAAATTCCGTTCAGTACGTCGACGAAGGCACAATACAGTGAGCTTATGTGGAACAAAGAGAAAGCTATTTCAAATAAAAGAAACAGGGCACACGTAAAACAAAATTAAAAGATAATGCTTTTACCGCCTACTATTAGAGTTCGTTGTCTTCATTAAACTTCAGTATCGCTTCCCTCATCTCGTTTGCTAATATGCAGACGTAGTACAGTCATGCGGTTTAGAATCGATTATCAAATAAAAAAATTAAGTAGCTATTTATTTGTGAGCTGCCTAATTAATAAAATTTGTTGTGTATTTTATTATTTTTTTTTACACAGAGTGCACCTGATGTGCCCCATACGGCAGAACATATATCAAACTTAGTTTTTATTCATCAGCTATTTATTTTGTACATGTAGTATTTGGCTCAATATATTCGTGCGTTTGCAAACATTTCTTATAGGTACTAAAAAACTGCCACAGTGTGTAATACCCTAAATTGGATTTCGCATAGTAATAGTTTTCGTTAGTATTAGCCGTAAAAGGCCCATGAAAAACGGAAAAGCTATTTAATTTCTATTTAGCAAACGAATCAGACAGTTATTTAATGCCAAACTCATTGTGAGTCACAATACATGATTTATGAAATATAGCAGCCTGCATTTGATAACTGCAACGTAGCGCAATGATTCAACATTTTTAACGGTTGATTTCCGACACAAAAACAATAACAATAATAATAATAAGTTGGAAAATAGTAAGGTTTTTTTTCAGGTTTTTTGCTTAGCGTCTTGTCTGCGCACAGCTATTACAATTACAGACCAAACGACAGCCATTGTAAAGAGTAAGGCGCTCCAGAAGTATAACATCGGATCGTACGACCCCACGGTATCACGAAAATATCCTGAAATTTAAAAAAAAAAACAACATCGCTGTTGTTTTTCTCGTAAGAATACATTTAGGCAGCGCTGCTTCAGCAGTAGGAAGTCACTGACAAATCGCCCAGTCCCTGATCTCTCAGCAGAATGCAGTTATTTGTTAGACAAAACGTTAATACGGGAACGTATGATAAAAAAACTAAGTAATAAGTTTCGTTACGGTATTGAAGACGACTAGTTTCTTTAAATGAGATTCGTTCATGGAAAGATAATAAGAGCGTGTTTCTAACCAATGAAAGTCGGGCGTCCGAAGGCGATAAAGCCGACTGTAGAACAGATTAAACCATTTGCGACGGCAAGATTGTGAATTCCTAGAATATCTAAAATTAAGATTGCAACATAATAAAAATAGTAATTAATAGATAGAACGAATAATCCATGACAACGATAAACGATATTTTTAGCGGTTTCTCATAAATGTACAATTAAGTTTCGCTAGAAATGACATCACATTTTATATCATGTGTGCAAGACACTGGTAAAATAACTGCACTGCAGTTTTTGCGTAGTTTAACTTACCAGAGACGATAATCGTACACATAACAACAGTCGATCCATAGAACCATCCAACAAGAACGAAAAGGCAAGTCAGGACACTGTATTCTCGAAACGACGGAATGATACAGGCCAGACCACCAAGGCAGAAGTAGTTCACGACGAATACTACCTAAATAACGAACCGAAGCATATAGATAGCGATTCCAAACGTACAAGCCTGACATAATAACTTACCTAATTTGATGGATGTTTTTCTTCTAATTAATAGTTCCACTATAACACTGAAGTTATCTAATTTTATGCCGTCGACAGCGACTCCTAGTGGAGACTATTTAGAAACATAGGAAATTTCATCTGACACTGGTATATTCATAAAATCTGTAGTTATCCTGATAATAGTAGGCCACATATTGGATATCCGCACTGTAATACAACAGAAGTGATCTTTCTTCGAAAACGGCTTTTCTCGCACATTTTGCTTTTGAAGGATAGGCTTAATTAATACAGAAACGGTACAGAAATTATCTGTTATCTTTAGGTTAATTTTCCCATTACCTTACGGTCGATGAATCCTTTATCCACAAGAAAAGGAAGAATGAGACGTCCTAGCATATCCGTAACCGAGACAAACGGAATTGTCCCGATGGCTGTGCTTTGATCGATGCCTTTGTCCGTAAATAGGTCAATCATTACCTAAATGGTGGTGGCGATTTCACGCTTGAACCCATTCTGCTGAACGCTCTCGTCCACCGTCCACCCACAGGTAGTGATGGTGAGCACACTGCATTGCATACATTGTGCTCACCATTGCCGAATAGGTATTGGCAAAGAACCAGTTGATTCTGATTTCTTATTCATATCTTTCGAAATATGTCGGCGCTCTAGCTATGTAATGGTTTGATACATTCATGGACATAGGGCTGTCATGAGTGGTGGGTTCACTGTTATGGAAAACTCACAGGAAAGTGGCCAGGGGCAACTGTTCGAGCTCTACGCAATCGAACGAAAAATCGCTTCGAGGTCCGAGAGCCGTTAATCGTTTAGCAGTGAAATAAAGTGGTTTACTTACCACTTTGTTTTTGGAAAATAGCGCGAATTTACTAAAATTTATCTTAAGGTTATGATTGTTGTGACAAGTGGTGATAAACCAAGTGGTGAATTGGGTATTCATAGATTGTTGAATTTGAAATCAACTGCGCGCATCAGATGCACGACCTTCACGTCTTTCATCTACTTTTCAAAATTTGTATTAGGATACGCCATGAAGAAACATTGATTGCTCCTTTAAAAAAACAGTATCTATAAGTTCCTTTGAAAAATATTAGTTACCATATGGGCCTTGTTCTCCACCTAATGTTTTCTAAGCAAAGTATGTTTATACAGTATAGGCGAAAAATATTATCATCTAGAAAAAATGTTGCTAACTTAACGGTTTAACGTAATAGCAGCTAGCGCGAGACACGCAGAGAAGGATTATGCTGTCATTTTGAAAGCAGACTTTTTACACCCATATAAAGATATCAATAAATTCAGCATGCCAGTTAATTTAAGAGTCATAGAAGGTACCAAAAATAGTATATCGGTGTAGGTCGTGAAAACGATGTAGGAGATAATCATCAAATAGAACAAAGGGTTACAGAATATCTCTCTGAGAGAGAGCTGCCTTTCTTTTTCCAGAGCCTCGGATACTTGAGCCAGTTCAGCATCTGAAATAAAAACAGAGAATGAAATGACTTGGGTTGCATGTTTATCAGCAGAAAGATACAGTCTTCATATCTTGACTTCGAAAGAAACCGGTTGTCATTAATCTCCATGAACTTGCTTTTTTCATCAACATATTCTAAGCGGCGCCCGTCGTCAACTAATAACGATATTAGCATCTTTTAGTGAACTTGCTTTAGAACTTATTATGTAAGCTACTTCGAAATTATTACCTTGTTGCATATAGCATATAAGAATTCTCGAAATTTTCAATTGTCTGGGTTACCCAGAGAATTGATTCAATATTAAAACCCAGACTTAATATTACTTTACCTTTTCCAGCATCAATAGCAGCACTCAACGTGTGGACATCTGGCGAAGGAAGCGGCGGTTGATCCCTGTGCGGATTCTTCTCCTCACGAGCGTTGACGTTGTCTAAATTGGATAACGTTACTTCTGCCAGCTCGTTTTCACTGGTATTATGTGGCAAGGCGCCTGAGAGAAGCCCAACAGAAAAGAAAATATCTCTGAAGCGGCTGTTACGTCTTACTCATTTGGCATTTCCCTTGCAGCCAACGTAGTGATGAACCAGCAATTCTTTCTCCTAATAACGAAATTTTTCGAGATCGATACGGTGAAGTGGTAACATTTTCAAAGGCACCCCTCACTGAGATTCGATCCCGCCTCAGTCATACAATTTTCTACGGATAACGTTTTAGATAGCGAGGGGTCGTTTTGAATAATGTAATAAAAGTATCTTTGTCACGTTAACTCGAACCTCGTTACAGCTATAGGGCCACTCAGCCATTTGTTATTATCACCTCGAAAGCCATACGAAGCAAGTCCTTGAACAATACACTTCGATATATATATATATAGAACAAGAATATCAATATATATATATATATATATATAGAAAAATATACTTCAAAAATTAATGTTTGTGCTTACGTTGGAACGGGATTCCTTTACTGCTTAAAACTGCTGTTTTCAACAGTCGCACCAAGCGATCTTTACTCAAGATAGCCCCACTTGTCTTCTATTAAATTTACTAAGCAAACAACGTACCCTCTTCAAGGCAATTCGAAAGGCTTGTACTCAAGTTTGACTGGAAGTTATTACTACCTGTGCCAATATCTGTGGCGAACACGAGATCCGGATCATTTTTTCCTCGAGTACCAATATTTATTCCCATAATATTGATTGACGTCGTACGAGTCCTGTTCCCAATCTGTGATAACGTTGTGGCACTACGCGATCGAGTTCGCGGAGACTCCCCCGTCCCCGTATCTATCCGGGACCGCTGTCAATCAGAAAATTCGATGTATGAAACAATTCGTTAAAATATATATCATCACCGCTAAGGTACAGATCTTTTCACGTAACGGTGTTAACTCTAAATCCAAGAGACTGGAGGAACAGTGCAGTGCACGATAAAATAGAGACATAACATATACTTGCCTTTGGTCAATGCTCACAAACTATTTCTTGCTAAACATATATATGATACGCAACACACGGGATATAAACGAGATAAATGAGAGGTGACATGCATATAGAAAAGTGTTTAAATATGCAAACACAAACGAAATACGCAAACGCATATTTTTATGGCTTACCTAAGACCTATACGGCTTATATACGTTTATAACTACCAGTCAACTTATCGGTATATTCGTAACTGTACGTGCAATCTAAAAGTCTAAAAGGGTTTGCTCAATCTTGCTAAGAATAACATACATCCAAATAAGAAAGCGTAATTACGTGAAATCATATTGGGGTACATCTTTGAATGAGACTTTTGATATAAGAGTCTCCAAAGTGACTTAGATGATATATTTTCTTTCGGGGAAGAATAATTTTCTAACTTGGGTCATTGTCGCAACTGGCGACGTCCGTCCATGAGAACTGATGGTGAAGCGTCGAACGATCTCTTGATCAATACTTGGCGCACGCATTTTCGTTTTCCGCCAGGATGGCTGCCGCATCAAAGACGACATTATTGGTGTAATCAACATGATTCCCGCGAAAATCAAAAATAACCCTGCAAGACAGCCACGAGGAAAGCGATTTCTTCAGAGCACCACTACAGCCTGAGATAATACATCTCTAGCTAGATATGTATAATTTTATCTTGATCGGAAACGTCCTCAGTACCACTTAAATAGAGGGAAAGCATGTTTCGAACGCATGCTGGACACAGAGAGAGATTTGTATCACTATATTAAAGTTTGTGTTCACATCAGCCATAGCCAAGTTATAATATGTTCAATGAGGCTTGTATCGGTCGAGACTCACCATGCAGTCCGAAGTCATCGTAAAGTAGTTCCGTGAATTTCGGAAAAATCATCGCTGCAACAGTTGATCCACAATAGTTAATACCTAAAGCGACACCTTTGTATTTCTGGAAATAGTAGCTCAAAATAACCGGATTCAGGTTATACATCAATCCAGCGCCGATACCTGCATAAAGACGTAATACACTGAATTAAATTGTTTGCAAAAAGCTGTACATTTAAAAAAAATTTAAAAATACTATACCTAAAGATGACTACTATTATTATTATTATTATTATTATGTTATAGGTCGATCTGGATGTTTAGAGCAAAAGCAAAGAAATGCGTTATGCTTCAGGAGGCTGTTTGACGTGTGACATTTTAGATACTCGAATAAAATACCCAGATGTATCTAGATTTGAAAGACAAATTTGCACATCAAAAGGCAAGATGGATCGTTTACCTCTAGTGAACCAGTGCCCTGCGTTGAAATACGAATCGTTCAATCATTTATCTATTCATTTGAACCTGTCATAGTAACTGAAGATTTTTAGAAAGGAGTATGTACTTCTGTATTTCTTGGATGACCCAAAACTGACCACACGCCTCGAAGAGTCAATTTGGTCCTCTGTTTGTAACGTTTTAAATGCGACTTAAATACAGCTTTTTTTTAAAAAAAAAAAAAGTCTACATGACCTTCTTTTGTTTCATTCGCTAGCCGTTTGCTGTTCCTTCATTATTACATATGCATGGTTTGCGGCAAATATCAGAAGCAATAATAACAAGGGAAGAGATCATCAATAGGGTAATTCGAACAATACCGTTAAGGATGCCAAAAAGGACGGTAAGCTGGACAATATTGTTCGCAAAGTAGCAAGCACCAAGACATACGACTGACATGCACCCGCCGATGACGCACGTTATACGTAGCCCAAATCTCGTACTCAACGGGCCCGACAGAATACCTGAAGATTTGCAAAGAGTGCTACCAGATTCAACCTTAAAATCTCGACCGTGAATTGATTTTAGCAAAACAGACAAAGGTTTCTTTTGCTTTTGACCCCTCCAACTAAAAGATGGAAAACTACTCAAGGCAGTACTTTCTGCTTTGGCGAAAGATTTTAGCGGAAGTTTTTTTTTACCTGTACAATGTACTATTTATTATAGAAAGCGAATTAAAAATATTTTTGAAACAACAAAATCAAGACAACAATGCTTGTTCTTACATAAGACTCTGTTTGAAATCAATAGGGACAGGATTTGGCTGTTGGGCGTTTCAGGCTGAAGGTCGGCCGAGAAGAGCTAGGATAAGATTAGACTCTATTTCTCCATTTAACTAAGCACCGTATACTGCTTTGATACAGCAGGCTTACCGGCAAAACTAAGAAAACCAGAAATCAATGAGATGGGCCACGCAGCTTCTCCACGCTCTACGTGAAACGTATCCATAACAGCAACATAGAGAACAGCAGCGGAACGGGTGCAGCCGCCGACAAGGAAGGTGTTTGTAAAGCAATAGATGACCATTCTCCAGCCCTCCCAACTGTCTGGGCCGCCTTTTTTACTTTTTTGCTTTTGCGTATCCGGTTCATGGTTCTGAAAATGGAAGTTAGAAGAAGTAGCTATAGATCAGCAGCACAGCTAGAGAGAGGATAATCCTAGGCTCGATAAAACTGCCATAGTTTGGGGCTAGATACTCATAAATTTTTCACTGTTTTCTCAATATCGCTTTTGGACAACTACTCAGTAAGTGACAATAGCCCGCTTCCTTGACCTCTAATAGTGTATTGAGCTCTTTCAGGTAAGCGTTGAGAAAACTGGCTTTTCACCTTTTAACTAAATAGGGAAAGATGCAGCGATCATTTCTATTGGGCAGTCGTACTACAACCAATAGGCAGTTAATATAAACAAAGGCCGGCAAACGATAGACTGATCTCACTGTTCAGAAGAAATTCGGTTCCTCAGAACCTATTTTAGGTATAGTAGAATGCTTCATATCACGTTTCATAATACACTGCTGTATTCTACAGTTCCTGTGATTCTTATCTCTAGTCCAGAGTACTAGAAAATCGTTTAGTGTACAGTGCGAAGACAGTTAAACTTTTTGAACTTATTCTACCAGTAAAGTTATCTCATTTTCAATTTCAATATGAACGGTTGAAGTACTATTATCTTATATGGCCTTCTGCTACTTGGGTATTAGTTATTTTGCCATTGTTATATAAATTTCAGGTACGAAAGCAGAGAGAATGTTGCAACTCTATTTCAACATATTGTTGAGATTTGAGCAATTTGTACGTTAACAAGTTTCTGACAATAATAAGATCCTGTGTCTGGTGACTGCGCTAGTTAACACAGAGTTGCCACGTGCAACTTGTGCATATTTGCCGCCATTAACTTTTATGTTGTAAAATCAAGCGTCGTCGTGCAGTAGCACCAATTTACCTTTTCGTAACTGCAAAGTTATGCAAAGTTTACTCATTACGTGCTCTAACAGCGCACTTCAGCCGTAATCGATGAGCTGGGGCTCATGGAACTAGCAGGTAACTGCCAAACATAAGCGTCTGACGCTGTATATTTGCTTAATGTTTCGCCTGTTCAGTTGCATTCACTGACAGATGCGACCCGTCCTCAAATGCAATTATCGTCAAAGACACGTTTTTTATAACAAATCACGGCGTCAACGCAAGAGTGGGTCATCGTTGTCATGTAGGAACCAAGAGAAGTAAGCGTCTTTACGTCTCCGTTTCTGAGCTCCGATTAAATTAAGTGACATCTATTTGATTAACTATTTTGCTGTACTAATTTGAGCGAAGTGGACACGTATGGCATCTTTACATGCACCCCAACTGGATACTAACATCTGAGCACTTTGAGATGGATCGGCTTCCACCACCTCGTTGTCCACCACCCAATCTGGTACGAAGTTGAATTTTGAGCTCAAACTTTCCCTCCGAAAATTTTCGAAATAAACGGTTCTAGTAAGAGATGTTTTCCGAACACGAGATTTGTACGATGAGCTGTCCCCGCCGCAGTACCTCTAACATGGATGGAACTTACATTCGTAAACGATCCGAATTCTCAAAATTGCCAGGTAAATAATGAAACGCCGAAAGAAATTCCCAATGTACGGCCTCCAATTCCAAAGGGTACAAATGGGTCTCAAGAACAACAAAATGAAGAAGTGAAATATGGAAATTCCAAAATGCGACACCGACGCTCTCCGCGTCTAATACTAAATGACAAAATATGGATCTTGCTAATTGCAAAAACAATTTCGCGTTGATGTCGTATGTACAGCTCGGTAGAAAGATAATGGCCACTCATCACATTGTTATGTATAGTTTGAAATAAAAGCAATCTTTTGGACACATTTGGGACAATTCTAGGGAACTTAAATAACGAACGAGTCCAATGTTTTTTAACACCCTGTGAAGTAGAAAGCGTTTTGTGGTATTGCGCAGACATGAACCACGCAAGTATTACTGCTCGCCTTTTTAGCTACGTAGCACCGCAAGTAAGCAGCTCAGAATCTCGCGATCTACAGAGAAAGTAACCGTGTCGATAGGAAACTTGGCATACTCGAGGTCGTACGAAATCCCTGCGACTGCAGCAAATTGCAGCCCTGTCGCCGTTTGAGTGAGAAACTGTGAAAAGATTTTCAAATGTTTCTATGTTGTCTGACGTGCAATGCTACCGAATATTTTACCGCTGCCACTGAACGCGTATCAAATATGGCCTGAACGGATTAGTCGGTAAGGCCTGGTTTGATTGCAAAAGGCTTCCGATTCAAGACTTAGAGCAACAACTTACCTTGTGTAGGTCTTTATTCGTGGGTCAATAAAGCCAGTCTGCTTTTGTCACTACGCTGCGTACAACAGAATGAACAGCTTTTCTAATCTTAATAGGTGTTTAAATGTTATTTGTTTTATCTGAGTAGAAGTCTTATTGAGGGTGTTTGTAGCTTTTTAATTTAGTTAAAGTCAGATTTGAGCTATGGCCTTCATAAAAGATGGATAGGACTTCGCTTTTAAATTATTTATTATAATTATATAAGAAAAAACCTTCCGTCTAGCGGCGGTAGCTCAGTCGGAGCAAAGTCAGCCTATAGGCTGCTTAGAGCAAACAGTACACGTATGTAAATATGCCTTGTCTTAATAAAAACAACTTATTTTCTTTACTTGTTCCGTAGCGTATTTTGTGTACGTATAGTGAAAAACAGGGTATCGTACTTTAAACCAACTCGTCTCCAACTTCACAACCCCTCACGATCATATGCTGATAAATTTAGATTTGCATCTTCATTCGAGTGCTACTCAGTTGCTCTAAGAAAGCTCGTTTGAAAAAGATCACTTCGACTTCGGTGTACATACCCTAGTATTTTTTTGCTCGCCCCTAATGATCCACGATGGCAACGGACAGTACGACACAAAGATCTGCTTGGTTAACGTATCGCGGATATCGTTCTGCAAACAGCATACTGAAATTCTTGTACGGTATAAAGCTAATTAAATTGCTATTTACTTAGCGGTGCTTGCATTGATATGGTGAATTACTCCGCTGTCGTATGGTCGGACGCATTTCGGCACAGTCGAAAGCATAAAACTGCGCGCATTTTTGATTTTCGCTAACTTTACTCAAGGCAATTCTTGAGTTAAGTTAAGGGTTCGTTTAAGAGATCCTTCGCCATTAGCTCATAAACTCTCATTGGCCTGGCTGGCTACAAAAGATACAGGGTTTCTTTTCGATGAAATTGATTAGGTAACGAATAACGTCTATTTTATGAGCGTACCACCTCACAACCGTATATATATATATATATACATATAAAGTAGATTATTTTATTGAGTCATGGTGCAGTTACAATGAGAGTCAAAAATAGGTTTTGTTTTTCCGGAAACTATTTTTCGAAAATGGCGCGTTTTTAACAGTAAATTTGACTATAAACTTCCGTTGTTCTTCCCCTGCTATCAATAGCTTCTTTTTTTTTTTCCCCAAGTACTTCAGTGCATTACTTGTGCTTTAAGCTTGACATTGGCAGAATAGTGGCTGTGATCTTTCAAGTGGATGCGCAAGCTAGCATTCTCGTCATGCTGCACGCATTATTAGAGTGCAGAAAACTGCAAGATGTGGTGTTTATTTCAGCCTATCATTCAGTAACGTGAGTTCACATCGGATATTTTATATACAATTCTGTATAATTGCTTGTTTTTTTCGATGCTCAATTTGTGAAACCTCTAAACGCTGTCTTCGCCATAAGAATATAGGTTTTAAAAATAATTCTTTTTCCAAGATTTTAAAAAAATACCTCAGGTACCAATGGTAAAACTATATGCCTATTAGGCCATAGGTCTTACGTTTGATTCTCTGCAGCAAAAGTAAAATCGACGCTAGTTTTTAATTGAATTTCAAAGCGCTAACACAAGCATCTTTCGAGTGTTTAGAGTCGTCACATTTCTAAGCTTGCCGCCTGCTCCATTCTAGATAAAGTTATATCAAGAAAGACCAATAGACATTACCAAGTAGCTGTGCCAGCTTCATTTGGCCGTAAATCGCAATGTTTTTAAATATAATTGGTATATAAATACTAATAACATAGTGTAAAATCTAGAAACAAATAGCTATGACTATAATTTCGAATTTTTGTGTTACAGTAAATGATAGAATAACGAAATGAAGTTATCAAAATGATCTGGCTGTCAACTTAGGCAATTAACAACTGCCAATCTCGCCTTCTGCCGAACTCTGTTTCTCCAGTAAATACGTTCTACTCTCTGGGCCTTTTTTTGCTAGATGTATATCCGATACCCCGAGAGTTTATCAGGGTTCAGGATGCCGACTGTCCTAATTCTAAATGAAACGAAAGGTGCGAGCCTAGTGCCTTTAAATGGAATCTGATTAATAGCGGCACAAGCGCAGTCTTTACAGCAACCCCGGCCTGTTAACTGAATGGCACACGCCATTTCCTTTACCCAGATGCTAGTACTAATTAATAAAAGTCCGGACCGCTACGAGTGAAACAACGAATGGCATCGTACTCCAATAGCATTGTGTTATGTAGGAAAACTACTCGCGCGATGATCACTTTAGTTCAGTCGGGGCATGTAGCATTTTAAGTAGTTTGCAAATAATAATACGCCGGGGCTCAGACTTACCGAAGCTGGGATCGGCCTAGACACTGGATAGTCATTAGGTGTGAGATCATCGCGGTTACTGGTAACCATCTCTTCGCCAGAGTTGAGTTTTTTTTTTAACGAGCAGTGATGTTTAGGATGATGCCGCCCCGGCAACGATATGACGCGCGCTCGCGGTAAAAGTCGGTCGTCCTTGCGCCAACCACTTGCTGCTTTTGCGATAGGTAAAAGACACGGGTAATTGTTGTGTGCCGTCAACTTCCGCCCCTACAGCCCTCTTACGCTGGTTACCAATGCCAGCGGCATACGGATGCCTACTATAGGAGAATCCCACTGCAATCTTCAAGCCCACCAATAGCCGACAACTGAACAGCGCTTGTAAATGTATTATACTGCGCCGGCATTCGCTGAGTGAAAACTGTTAAAGAGATACGAATGTTTTAACATTGACCCTTTTGGTTCAGTCTGACGCGCACCTAGGGAACGCTTCCCGTCCAAGGTCAATCAACGATTAGCTCAAGTGAAACGAACGCTTCGAGGGTGCAAAGCTTCGGGAGTGATCGTGTTCTCCGCTGATTGAGAACAGAATTATCAAATATGCACACGTTTAAGCTCTTCAATAGAGATTTAATTAGCTACTGGACAATAACTGGCGTTTTATAATCACTATTTTCTAGAAATTACCTAAGCGTAACATCTTAGTTAGCCAAGCAGGCCAGTATGCGATTCTTACTATTGCCGTGTCAAGGCAGAACGCTGGTAACCGGCAACGACGGAAAATCCTAGAGCAGAGTTTCACTCGACTATATAAACTGCTAGGGAAAAATAGTGCCTATAGCCCATAGCAATCTAAAGTTTCGTTTAGTGCACGTATTTTTTCCAAGTTTGGAAACGGAAAAGCCTTGAGTTCTAATACAAGTGAACTTCCTATTTGAAGATCAGTGCTCAGGAAATAGCTTGTTCAATGAAAGGCCAAAATAGTACTATCTAGTGATATTTAAGCCATCTGCATTTAAGCTTAACAAATCGTACCTGTCAGAGAGGCCTAGCCACCCTTTTTACTTTCTTGTCATTATGCGCTACGGACCTTCTTGGTTTCGTCACAAAGTTAGTCAGCATAAATGTGCCATCAGACATAATGACAGAATATGGGTCCGTCTAGAAGTACCTGTGTAGAGGGCTGTATTTATTTTAGCAGCCAGTATACGTCGATAAGCGATAGTAATAAAATAAAATATTTCACGACGCGAATAAACTTACTAATCAGAAGTACGCGTTTCTGAACTAGGCGTTGTGGTGTGTTCGCTACATAGTACTTAAAAATGATGGTAATTTTTAGCCATAGAGAAGAGAATTTTTTGAAAGAAGAAAAGATTTGCTGTTACAAATAACGTCAACTTCGAGCCATAAAGCTTAATTTTTTTCGTATAAACAGCCTACCCTCCCCCCAGTCGGGTCAGTGAACCCCATTCCTACCTTCGCGGAGAAAAAATGAGAATAAATATTGTGCCAAACGCACAGTGGTACGTTTGCTATAGAGAAAGATTTTAGGGGGCCCAGCAATTTCACGAAAACACGAACTTCACATAAATTTGTACCCCCCCCCCCCCCCCAATACATCTCGAATCTTCATGAAAAAGCAGGTTTGAGCTGAGACGATGTCGGACGTCGTTCGAACTCTGCCTATGCATTATATAGCGGAAAAAAATTGACTAGAAAGATTTTACGTCGGCAGCTGACAACGCCAAATTCGTGAAGATAAACTTTCCTAGCATCAGGTAATGATCTAACAAGATATAGATTATGACATAACTACTAATTCTCGTCTGGCTCGTCCCAGTTGAAGTTCAATAGAGATAAATGCTGTTATATGGCTGCCTGAGTATTAAACACGGGATGAATTTTACGTTGTAACATAGAGCTGATGAAAATAAGCGGAACAGCGTATAGTACGTATTGAGTACAAGAGTATATGCTTAACAAGGGCTTATTTGCCCAATCGGTTCTAGGTTAAAACTATACAAACGATTGAAAAACTACTGCTTTTTCTTTTTATAAAGTTCCGCCAAATCTGCTCTGATCATTGCAGTGTCGTGCAATTGTAAGAAGTCGATTGTATGTGTCTCTGGGAGCAGACGGAAGCCAGCGCTTTATATGTTTCTCTCGACTGTACGTTTAGGTCCATTTCGAATGTGTCAATAAGAAATACATTTTCAAAAAAAGCTGTGGCGGTCTATATTGAATTGATTCGTCGAGAAACCGTTAAAAGTTTGAGGCTATACGCACCTATGACTTATAATAGTATCATTTGTTCTATCCAATTTCAGCAAGTACATGGCATCGCCCTCTCACTCTCTGGGCTCAGTCTGACCCTTGTCATGTATGTGAGGTACCTTTCTTATTTGCACCTAATGTCCTATGCGATCTGTTCCTGTAAAAACGGCTTGATCTCATTGCGTTTTTGCGCAGAGTTGTAACTTTTTTACGTGTCAATTCATATGGCCTCAGATATATCGAGCTTTTTCTGTAGCCAATATTCTTCGAATGGTTCTAAATTGCTTGATGGTGGGTCTGTGGTTCCTTAACGATGTCATGTCTATTCACGTTCCGGTCCTTCTTTTTTGGGTCCTAAAGAACTGCCTTTTCGCCAAGTGATTTTATATAGTAAATCGTATATGCAGTAGATCGTTTTAGTAGAACGATTGAAAAGACGATACTTAACGGACTTAAGGCATAGAACCGAATAGTATTCGTTTCACAAAGACACATATCGACCGTTTTTATATCACACTGTTAATCTGATTTTATCGTAGTTACTGTCGATACCATTACCAAATATACAAGCTAAACCGTAGTCTTGTTGCACTCGATACAAAAGGCAAGAACCTTATCAGTAGTTAGTATTGGCCTCAGTCAAGGTAAGCGTACGCGGGTGGACCTGCTTAAATTCTGGATAGGTCATTGACTCATATTTGCGCCTTCGCTTCTCCGTCTCCTCAGCTCTAAAGCGACTTTTGCGCTGTAGATAATCAACCAAAGCCTGTATATGCGGTATTACAATATACAATAGGCCAAATAATTATTTTGGGATTAAGACGCGTTTCAGGCAACAGCCGTGATTCAACAAACTCAGCTACAGGTTTAGCCTTTTCTTCTGAGACTGTCAATTAAGTTTTGTTATGAATGAACTTGGCTTGAAGTATGTCAAGTGCCTCAGGGAAGTCCTTGCTGGAAAGTGTACCTGAGTGCTTCTACGGACGTTTTCCATAAAAGGAGTGCGAAAAGAAGACTGTTAAAAAATTTTGTTTCCAAAGGATGAATTCTCTTCACAAGTACCATATATTGTCACGCTAGCAAACCAGTCGAAGAGCATATGGCCTTCATTAAGAATCACCTACCCACGCGGGGTCAATGCGTTTTACTTGAACAAGTTGAGCTTTGATTGGAGTTGAGAGGAGTCTCTGCAATATTTGTACGCTGCTACACTCATATGCTTCCACACGAAGTTGATCTCGATCAGGCAACGCTCCTATGGAAATTGTTAATGGGTAGACAAATAGTGTCGCATATACATATACAAAGCATAAATCGTTCTTACGAAGAATAAACGATCAGTATAACTCTTCGCCTCGGATCATTGTTAGGACCTTTGTGGAAACGCCAGCAGATCTAACTATTTTCCCGATTTCGATAATTTTTGTTAAAGCATATTCGGATATATTATTTGAACTTAACCTTATTGACACCGAACTCAATCATCGCGTTATCATACAGATCCAAAAAAAAAAAGATAAAGATAAATTTCTTCAGAATAGAGACGATTGTGCACACGTATTCTAAATACGCAATCTAGATAATTTTAAATTGAACGAGAAAAATCGTAGACTGGACAGACCGTAACGAGCATTATACATATGTACGCTTATAGAAACTTGAGTAGGTTATTAAATGTTTACAAATACAGCCATGTCATAATGAGCATGCACGATTACCGTTGCAACTAATCACTACATACATATATATATACGCGGTATAGACGACTGGTTGAAACAACAGCTACGACCGAAATCGTCGCAAGCATGGTAAGAGCGATACAGGAAATATATACAGATTAGTTCATTTGATCGAAAAATCTGTGCAAAACTAACGATTCCCATTGAAATGTACGTACGTTTTAATCTAAGAAGCTAGAGGCTCAATTCGAATCATTTGACTGACTATTCATTCAATTAGACGCCAAATAGCCATGGATAGGATTCGACTATAAAACAACTATGTCAGAGGAACGCTCCAAGCTTCTAAACGCTATGGTATGGTGCTCTATTTTGACATTTGCGCTAGACGTCAGCGCATTGTTTAGGATTGCGTGCGATGCTCCGAATAACTGTCATTGGTCTCCTACAACGCGGAAAACAGTGTCTAGAATATCTATGAGCAGCATTTCCGACTTGGAACAGCAGAATTTGAGAAAGCTTCTTAAAATTGCAGGATACGTTTGGATCGAATGGAGGACGGCCTTATCGAATCGGCCAACCATCAACGAGTCCTGTGTTCCGCCGCCAAGCTGGCAGTTCTCACTACAGGTCGCCAATATCGAAATGTCATCGTCGATACATCTTCTCTTCAGTACCAGTCGCTTCAAAGGTTCAGCTGTGCGCAGAGCACATCATTCGCTGTCGGGTGATAGTAGCGTTCCGACTGTATGAAGCCACGCGTGGTATCGACGCTGACGGCGGCGGTCACAGGGTGTCTTCGAAGAAATCACTAGCTGAGGAATAGAAATGCTGTTCGCTGTTATGGTAACTGCTGCTTCTGCGGTGGCGACATCGCGCCGAAGGTAGGTGAAGGCCATTGACGTCTCTTCACTCAGTTCAAACCAGCTCTGAGCCGGCTTAGCAACAGTCACGTATAACCGAGTAACGGCCAAAACAAAGTTGCGGGCTTTAACGGCGGCGGCAACGGCTGACTTCACCGTTGCGCCGGTCGAGTCAGCCGCCGCAGCTCACACATTTCTCAAGCATGAATCTAACGCGACGGCCAATCGTGATCGCAGCTGGTTGAACTACTAATACTGCCACTACAACTACCGCTACTGCGCTGCTCCACTAATTCCGTGGGGGAACTATTGAAGAGCTAGTTCCGATGTGGCTGTTGTTGTTTTCTGCTCCCCTCGGCGCTGGCTTTCGACATGTCCCCGACAGCATTGGGCCCGATTGGGCCGGGTCTTCACCGTCGTCTGCCAGAAAATGACAGCTTAAGAAGAAGCCCTTGCTCCAATCGCCATCAGCAGCATCCCTCTCCCCGAACAGCCAGGAGTCGAAGATCCGACCGAGATCCATGCTGCTGTCGTTAGCAGGTCTTCACAAGCTGCTGCTGCTGCTGCTGCTGTTACCTTCGTCGATTTCCGTGCTTGACTCCGCTCCGTATCGTGCTCAACAGACTGGCTAACTCTACAGTTGACCCGCCGCTGCTGCTGCTGTTGTTGCCGTTAACAACAGGCAACGAGTCGTCGTCACTAGTAGCTACGATACTGCAAGCAGCTATATGATACAAAACATATCATTGGCTGTCACATCTCATGCCGTGTTCCATTGTTTCAAATCATCGTCGTACGTCAACGATACGCTACCTAAGTGTACGCTAGTTCGTTGTGAAATCCATAGCGGTCCGGTCGTAGAACATGACAATCGGCAGTAATGATGTGAGTTTGAGATCCTTTCGTGACAGCATCCCCTAAACAACGACCGACCTTTTCTCGGTGCACGCAGAATTACCGCAATCACAAATAGTGAGCTAATTGATATTAAATTTTAGTGCGCCATGATGCTTCTTTTAAAGCAGTTTATACTGACCGTGTTTGTTGTTCGAGCGGGCGCACAAGACACAAGTGCGCTGATAACAGGTAAGTGGAACGGTAGAAGTTTGTTTGGAATTTACACTTGATATAATAACATGCTGTAGCGCTCTCAAGATGTGCAGTAAACTAAAATCTATTAGCTTTGCTCTATAAGTAACTCCTTCGGTGATTACACCCAACCAAAGGCCTAGCAAAGACATTAGCTGCTGAATTTTGAAGGTTAAATTGAGGCCATCATTGACTGTCCTTTTTTTTGTGGAAATAGATATGTTCGCTTTTCGTGTTGTTGTACTGTGGAGATGACACTCTCTCGCACTTGTCCTCTGCGGCCTCCTGCTTATCCTATGATCTCCTTGTACTATAGTGTGATGGTGCTATCTCACCTTGTCGACTCTCAGCACGACCTCCGTCGCTTCGACGAACTCCTGCTCCCAACTAACCTCACGTTGATGACTCCTCGTAACCGTGACTTGTTGTAGGCATCCTGGGTAGCCTAACTTCGACGAGTAAAAACCAGGGTTGTCCTGGCGAATGCGTGCATGCAATCACCGCCCTGCTCTGCGAGCAAACGTTATCGGACGCACAATGCGATGCGGCTTATCTCCGCTGCTGTATCACAAAAAGTCCAGTGAATGTGGCGTCGTCGAGCGAAATCGGCAACGCGTTCGTAAAGGGCGCGCCGGCCACCGGTGGACAGGGACAAGATGAAACTCCAGCTACGAAACCAACACCCCAGCCTCTGAAGGGTGATTCAGATTCTACCAGCGACTCGCAGCCCCCGTTTCCACCAGCTGATCACTCCATCAACGCGACAGCTCTACTGTTAGGTACGGCTAACTGACTAACTTCCCTAGCCTGCTTTGTTAACCAAATAGCACCTGGTCGAGCTTTTGTTTTTACGAATGTTTGCAGTGGGGTACATTTTCTATGTATCCTGCTCTATTGGCTCACAACGACATGTGTCTACATTGATTCCAGGCGATCGTGTCGAACCGGACGTGCGTATTGAGACGATAAACACCTCGAATGAGTCTAAATCCGCATCTACTTCAGCCGTTCCGACTGACCCTAAATACAAGACGGGCTCTGCTATCACCAATATCAACTGTCCGGGCGCGTGTATTTCAGAAACATTTGCCGCTTATTGTCGCGTTTCTATAGCCGATGGCTTGTGTGGTCATGGTGGACTTTGTTGTGCAAATGAGAATGAGGGACAGACAGTGACTGCAGGACAAGATGGCAAATCTAGCAAACAACCTATAGAGATTGAGAAAAAGGCGGGTAGGCCAATTGAGTGCACTGGCTCTTGCGTTTCATCGCTCTTCAGTCTGCTATGCGACAAAGTTGATTATACGGCAACGTGTAATTCAGGCGGAGTGTGTTGCCTGAACACAGGCGCGACCTCAACGCCAACGACGACTTCCTCCCCACCTCCAGCCTCATTGACTCTGCCGACCTGCGTTGGTCGTTGCCTTCCGGGTTTCATGCATACGGCGTGCCGTAGCAAAGGTAACCAAGTTTCAACGGAAACCACTATGTGTCCACCTGCTACCATCTGTTGCTTGGATACCCCGGGTCGAGCAGGAGGTGGCGACGTCTACACCAATGACCGTGGACCTGATGGCCCTGGTATCATCTTAACAGGCCCTCCGAATGTCCAGTCTCCGTTCCCTTTGAGCGGTTCGTCGCGGTTCGCTGTGCCAACTACGCTTAATAAGCAACCGTCGGTTAGCGGTGAACTATTTGGACTACCGCTTCCTATCCAAGAAGAGGCCATCGGTCCTTTATCTAGTGCTGAATTAGTAACGAAAATTGCCAGTACTATACAGTGTCCCGGCAGCTGTATTGCCCCACTAATGAAATTCACTTGTTTTGGCTCTAATGACGTATTTCCACATTTCAAGTGCACTGACGGCTATATGTGCTGTGCCGATACGAGTGACGTCAAGCGTACCTTGAGCGCTGCCATTATTCTTAATCAAGTTGGTCCGTTAGGGCCACATTCCGTGCCACCAGGGGGTCTTATACCAGTGCCTACAGATGGAAGCCTTTTCGCTCAACGGCCAAGCCCTGGGGAGCTGCCTCCGCATGGTGACAATAAATTAAACCCATCTAGTGAACCTCAAGAGTCTCAACTTCAACCGATAAATGTAAGGCCTCCTACAAACATCGTACAGCAAAGTGGCGCATTATCCGAACGTTTACCGAATGGGCCAAAGACGCCGCCGGTAGCCATCGCTCCTGCTACGTCACCTCAACCCCACAGTCCTCCTTTGTCATCCGGATCACCGCCACTGTCCCCGCCAGCATCTCAGGGTAATTTTGTGCCCGCCTTAAGGCCTAGACCCGGCCAATCCCCTGTTGCTCTGCCTCAAGAAAGCACAGATATGTTATTACCGTCGCCTACAAGTCTCAGCGCTTCCCAGCCGTTGGTACCTTCCATTACGCCTGTATCAGGAACTCGTTTAAAAAGTCCTTCCTACCATGTTAATACGCCTAATCAAAGTTCTTTTTTGGGTAGCAAGAACTTCAACCGAGTATTTCGGCCCATCGGCCAATCAGAACCTGTTATCACTAATACTGGAGCCAAGCCGACTCCCTCTTCCCCCGCAAGTAGTCCCGTGTTAACGGCAGGTGGTTTCGTTCCCACTAGAGCTGCTTCTCCTTCAATCATATCCGTACCTTCGCTTACGGACTCACCACCAATACTCCCTGCTCCTCACTCCCAGGCTTCGAGGGAATCGAATGGGACGCGCTTAAAGGGTTAGTATCGATCGGTCAATTTTAAAGTGAATGCCTAACATTTTATTAGGTTTTTAACATTATTCACACTTTATAAAGGTTCATTTGCTATGAGCTACTGTCAATGCTCTTTTTACATAGAATAATTGGAAAATAGATCCAGGCAGGCCAATTTTAATCGACAAAAAACACAGGGGCTAAAGTGAACTATCTAAAAATCCATTAAAATTTGTGGTATCGACCTCTACCCAGGCTACTCTGACGTCTACCCAGTGAAGTAGACGCAGATACAAAGGCCCGAGATATTCATACGGGCGCTAACGCACTAGTGAGCTAGATCGTTATAATGCGCCTATCCAGATTTTTCGACAGTACTTTCAGATGTCAGATAACTTGAATTACTCGATCCCTAAAGAGTACCTGGACGTGGAAAATCCATAATAGGAACAGTGTTGTGCAAAGATAGACGCCTGAAGCCCAGCTTCCTAGCGAAGCATGGGTTTAATTTCGGGTTTTATAGTGAATAAAGGTCCCTCAGGTAGCTGGTCCTATTGAAAAGGGTTGGATGTTCAAGCAGCAAACGCTTTTGATACATTTCGTAAATGCTTTAGGGTTATTTACCCGTAGATTTTCGGAATATTACGGCATCTATCGAAGTGTCATTAGAAAACATACGTTCGCAAAAAAAATGATTTGTCTAAGATTTTAAATTGTAAAAGATAACTCCACTACATAGACCCAATAAAATCCTTAACAGCTGAATAATTGTCAGCCCCCTTCTACAGAATAGGAGGCCATAAATGCTAACATATTTTCAATATAAGCATTAGCTCTGTTAAACGGCAACTTTTAATTGACCCTTATATTGCTAAACGTAACGTATCACATATAACAAAACTAAAGAGTCGATTAAGAATATAATATAACTTTATAAAAGGGTTGACTTCGCTGTGGGTTCCAAATAAAAAGCTAGGCCGTAACTGCAAGTATTGTGGAACGGATACACCCATCGTATGTTTTCGACCTATACAGAAAAACTATGCTTTGCTCAATTGTCTAAACTCGATGCCATTCTGGCTCAAGAAACGAGCTTTCCTCTGAACAGTTACATAATGTAGTATAAGGAAACGCCCCACGCCTATTAAGTTTGGCTTTAATCGCTCAATGTAAAATGTCTTTATGCTGTGAACCACTAATCTCGCTAAGCTTCTGGCTGGAGCAACTTACATGAAGTTTAAGAATGGCTTTCAACGAAGGCTATCGTCCAAAGCACCTTTTTGTGACCAATTTCTTCAGAATTAAAAAAGAAAATAGCTGTGTTTTCTTTTAGCTGTGATCTAGCTATAACACTTTATAAGTCTTCTATCAAATTCTGCTACTCTGAAACACCGACATTGATCGTTATAAGGTATAATAGTAGACAAGTTACCATATGTAACTCTCTGGCAACCGTAGGTGTCATTTCGCCCACTTACATGTGTTCAAAATCGGTACTAACTGTTCCGCATAGGTCTACCATGTTGGTATGAAGATGAAATCCATAGATACAGGCTCCATCTTCAACCAGATTCTGTTATTATGACACAACTTACAGTATGTTTAGAACATCTCTGTTCTGAGTTGAACACAGATGGCTGTCTAGCTCTAATAAACAAGTAGATATAATATATTTCAGGATTTTCACGCGAACCGCTCAGCTGTGGACGGCGCAGTGGCGCTCGACAACAAAAAGTACGTAGTTATTAGTTTTTGACGGAACGTAATCATTATAGTATTTGATTTTTTGTTTTACGAGTTTGTTTGACTAGCGTCTGTGCAGATTATTTGAAGTCATCCAAGCACGAACATAATTCGTTAATAACAGCCCTATAGCGTTTCAATGAGCTTTGATGTAGTGGGAAACTACATTGCGTCCCTCTTCGAGTGGACCGTTACTCCACCTACCTACCTACCTACCTACCTACCGAAAAGTAACATGGATTTGCGTCCTTTTGTAGCATTCTGCGCTACGAAGGGCAATCCACTGCTATGAAGTATACGCAGTTATGACAAGGACAACATGCGATATGGAAGTATACTTCAGTACATCGCACTAAGTTTCGTAGAAGTCATATAGATGTGCTATTTCAAATAAACGAACGCCTAATGAGCCAGTACAAATGCAAGAGTATTGATTAAAAAAAAACCAAGTACGAACATTTTTACGTAACATGCGGTAGTAGTAAGTATGTCTATAGTAGGGTAAAAGCAAATTAGCTGCCCTGAAATCAGTGAAACGCTTATACCACTCCTTCCCGCAAAGCTAAAAGAAGGCCTTTCATTACGTCATATACAGAGGAGCACGACGTTACGGTTGACGAGTAAACAATCCACTTTCTCTATTAGCAGAAACGAGCGAAACGGAACGAAGTCGAAAGAAAAGTTCACAATAACCAAGTTACCAATTGCAGCCTGTGGTTGTGTCGAATGCTATACCACATCAAGGTCCATCAAGCTGGCTCACTGACAAAACAGTCTGCGGAAGGGCGTTGGTTGCGGGCACGCAGACCTCTTCCGGAATCAACTGGGGCACATAGGATCAGCTCCCATGAGTGCTGTGCCCAGGAGGCAACGAGGATGACGTTTTGCACATGATAGATCGAGTGCTAACATTTGAAAACTCCCAATAAAAAGCATGAATAGACTTGTACACTTCGCATGCACATATGGAAATCGTAAACATATTAGCTAGGAGACATATAACAAAAACGATAACCACTATTTAAGGCCGAGGCGAAAAGAGCCGCAGCAAATAGAGAATTGAGCTACTGTCGATACAAATTTTCCAGATCATCTGATCATGATCATCAGACATGATCCAAGTTGTTGGGGTAAAATAAGTTTTGAGGAAAACTTTTGAGCGGCATCGATGGGCGTCAAGTTTGTCCAGATACTGTATAATACCCTAATGTCAGATCAGACCATGAGATGCTGGGAGACCATGGGATGCCGTCCTCTGCAAATGTCCCAGGATACCTAACCATATGCCGTTTTACGACGGAAATAATCAATATATACACGATCCGTTCGTTTACGTCGTTCTACGATTTCTCTTAAAGGCCACACTGCAATTATGTCACAAATAGGCACATCTTTAGAAAGCTGTTATTATGTTCATAATTGAATACTGCGGAGTAGTATTTATTTAGGCATTCATACGATATGCTGCGAATCCTTCGTGGAATCTTATTATTGGCAGGTAATCGGAGGTAAAGACGCGGGGCTTGGAGATTGGTGCTGGCAGGCGGCTATCTACAACGAGAAAGGCCAGTATGTCTGCGGTGGAGCCCTTATCGGTCCTCAATGGATAGTCACCGCAGCTCATTGCGTAACCAAGTTAGTTCTAAATCAACACTTGCTTTTTGTTACGTTCAAATTTCGTGGTCTTTTACCGTTCGCATCGTGATAGTCAAGATACGCATACTATATTTAGCAGTGATGGTATTGCGGTTCATTCCCTATTTCGAGCAAAATTACCATTATAGAGCAATCGAATCGCTGATCTAAACCTAATGAAATATTCAATCCCCTATTTTTAATGACTACCTTTCTCAGATAAGCCCTAACCAGAAAGCAATGACTAATTTGCCATCTAATGAGGGTTACTCATCTCGGTGACGAGGTCGATAGGACGCCAAACTCACAGCCATAGCATTTAGGATAAGAGATTAATCTTGGGCTCTGCTATTCTTTTCTAATAATTTGAGTTCTTCATTTTTGTGCGGTGTACATGCGGCCAGCGTGCGTATCGTGTAACTCATATTTTTAGCACATCTGAAATTGGTCCTTACGATATTTGCACTTATATTTTGCTTCCGTTTCAAAAATACGCAATACATATATAAACCGTATTTGTTCTACTGTTCAAAATATTTATTAGCGTCTGAGGTTTAAAGTTAACGTAGGTATTCTCTTGGCCGTAGATGAGCTGAAAATATTTCTCAAATATTAGACTCTGCTTACAGTTTAGTGCTTTGGGCGCAAGACTTTACTCAGTTTACTTAGTTTTATGTTAAAAATGAAATAAGTGCAGGCTCACAATTTCGTTAGTTTCGACCCTAGATACGCTTCTGTTAAGAGAGAAAGATATACGAAATTGACGCATGTTTGTGTTGTGGATAATGTCTCGCGTTCCCTATTTTAAAAAGATAGCTTATTAGCTTGACTCCAAACTCAAGATTGATGGTACCCTCTTGACGTAGTACTACGTAAATTTTTTGTCATTCGTCTAATTAGGCTTATTTGTTTCTTATCATTTGCCGTAGCAGCATGACACTTGAGAATTTCCAACGTTTTGCAGCTGTTAGGCAACGGTTTAGTACGTGCCATCGATTAATCAGCCTACGAGAAAGGTCAGTATGACCTTAGTATCGGATGACTGAATGTTAGGTTTACGGGTTATTCGTGTCGAAGCCATATGAGGCAAGTTTTCTGTAGCCACTCTATATCCCTTTTCTTACGAGTGAAGGGCGTTTACATGATCGCCCCATCTTGCCTGCCATTGTTTGCTGTCTCTCGACCGGCCAGCTGGCTGACCGGGCGGGCGGGCGGGCGGTCGCTGTAGCCCAGCACACCGACGGCCGGCATTCTCTCTTGAATGCGACGATAATGGTCCATGCTTGGCGTCCACGAGCCGAGAAAAGATAGATGGGGGACGACTGATCGCCTTTTTCGCTTTATTTCTCTCTTTCCTCAAGCTTCTTCTAACTAGCTCCACTCAAAAGAAACACAACGAACAACAACGCTGAAGAACGCAGTGAATGTGCTGCTTGAAGAGATGTGACTCCTTACGCAAGGCGTATTCAATTGAGTGGCTATTTTAGAGTCCGCGTCACGTAGCGTACTTCTTTTGTTCGACACAACTTGCCTTTAAGTCTCGCAAGCAATACATAAACGCTGGAGTGAGCGATGCTAGAAAACACTGGCACTGTAGGAGCACTCCCATACGTTAGCGTCTACGTGCGATAGGATACTTCGTGAAAAGCCAGGACACCGGTGCAAGTCGCTTTGAATCGTTGACGCAACTTCTGTCTGTCTCTCGTACTGAAGAACTTGTTTCGTGACGGTTTGCTGTTCGGCACAAATGCTTTCATGACAAATACAGGCATGCGCATTGCTGGATTGAAGTTAGTTAGTTAGTTAGTTAGTTAGTTAGTTAGTTGGAAATAACGAATAGCTAGCAAATGATTGACATTGCAAAAGTAAACTACCTGCTCGGTGCGGCTGGTATGTTGCTTTTGTCTACGATGAGGAAGGGCGTGACAGCGACGGATGTCCAGACTAACCATCCTTTGCCCCCTCACACTCACGCCTACGGGGTACTACAGCGGCATCTATACACTGTAGAAGACTACTGCGAGAATGATCTACGAACAATCCGATTCCACGAGGCACTTCTTATACGAAGCCAAAGGCCGCATAGGAAATTATATCTGGGCGGAGTACAGTGCACTATGACACTGAATGCGTCTCACAAAGATATTGGCCTTATTATAGCTATGAAGACGCTGGTCACGCGAAGTCAGCTCGACAATTTGACCCTGAGGTTAGCGGGAAGCTCGGAACCTGTGACATTATTTGGCAATTTATTTGACGGAGATTCTCCTAATCACTTCAATGTGTCCAATAACGGAGAAGTGGAACTTACGTGGATGACCGCTAATCGGTCCTCCGTCAAAAATCTTACTGCTACTGGACGTGGTTTTGATATGGTCGTTACCGCGTTCAAGGCAAAATGCGAAGGCAATGATACGCTGTTGCATGGCTGTTTCAAGTGCCTGACCGGATCCCGTTTTATTAGCGCAATTCATGTTTGCGACAATCACAATAATTGTGGGGATCTCAGTGATGAAAAATGCTCTAACGAGTCTGTATCAAGTGTCACTATAGTGGCCATTGTTCTGGCTGTAGGCGCCGTAATTTTAGGTCTTATTTTTGCAACAGCTTACCAACTGAAAAAATGTCTTCGAAGACGTAAAATTCTTGCTTTTGATGATTCACTGGCCAGCGGCGTAGTATCGTATCTTCACGTAGACGATTGCCAGGAGTCGACGCCGTTGACTCGCGTCGATCTAGTCCCAGATAAGGAAAGACAAGACAATGAAAAGCTTTCTAATAAAAGTCATTAATATTCGTTCGTTCAATCTCCGACCCAGCCACTATCAACCACTCCAACAAGCGAATCTATAAGGAAGACTACTTTCTCGAACAGCCCCTCGGTGTCAAGCAGTACAATGTGATGCTACCTGTGCTCAGTCTCCCTGTAATGAACTTCACGGTGAAGAATTTTCTCGTAGCGATTAGCGCAGCGCGCAACGAATTAAATGACAGTCAATAAAGGCGCCAATTGAACGATTGAAAGGCATTCCCATCCCGATGAAAAGAAAAATAAAAGCCAATGACAAATCGGTGGCCATGATGATCCTATTCGACGACAACTACTCACAGCCGGTAATATAACTTTATTCTGAAGCAAGCATCGAACGAAGCAACAGACGATCTGAAAGTAAACATATTGTTAGTGTTTATTGGACCGATTTTCTCGTTTGGAAAAAATTAAGTTGTCTATTCCGTAACCCTATCATAGCTGAAGATGAATTGGCACCTGTGATTTTGACCAGCCATTCTATACGTTTAGCGGTTGAGTAATCGTGCCATCTAAAAACCATGTGTATACATATTGAAATGCAGCTTGAAAAATAGCTTTGACCATATCTAGCTCATGTATAATATTGTCATGTTTGTAAACATCTATATATAGTTTTGTAGCATCTAAAGGAAATACCTGATAGCAAAATGCTACAATAATATGAATAGAAAATACCAACACCTTCCTAAATAATAGATTTTTTTTATGTGTTTAGCGTAAATAAATTAGTAGTATATATATATAAGTAGAATTACGTTAATGGATTATCAATGAATAGTTCAGATTGAATTCAAATCGCTTTTATATAGACCAACTTCCTACTTACTTAATGGAACAGAACGCTTTAATGTCTTCATGTCTGTACAATTCATATATAGACTAAATCTCGATACTATTACCCTACGGCCGGACTTGGGTTGGCCAAGGCTGCTAACACACCCTTAAGTTTCACTCTTTGGCAGTTCGGAACTTCATTGAAGAGCGTTCCAGACCAGCAGAAAAAGCAGATGTCTACTTGTCAATCGACCATGGTCACTTCCGTATTGCCTGCCTCACCAGACACGCTGTATCCTAAAACCTGTAAACTCGAAATTCTAATCGCGCCGTCTGCAGTCTCTCAAGGCCGAGAAAAATCTCATTCTCCATTACAACTTGAGGCACTCTTTTTCAGGCCTTCAGGGCCTCTTTGGCTCCGATGACTCCGGGTTCCCCCCCCCCCCCCCCCCCAGTGGTGGCGCACATAGACTTCACAAGCTCCGCTAGCCGTACTCTAGACAACCCGGAAAAGGAATCTCTACTTAGCTAAGACCTTGTTTGTGGCTGTTGTCCTTACGGTTTCGAAACTGAGTTTAGCAATGCGTTGGCAAAGTCAATTTCGGCCGTTTGCTCGCTATGGACACATATGGGTCAAATGGGTTTTTCAGTCCTGTGTAGGAAAGACAAACAATCCCCATAGCCTCTAACGATCTGTGTTACGTAAGAGTCCACTTTTCCTCCGGGGCGCTCCAGCTATTTCCCGATGTCTGAAATAAGTTCTCGGACGACGGCTCCGGGATTTCCAAATGCTATAACCGCCCACGCAACAGTTTCCTTAAAGCGTTTGGGACATTTGCTTGCTTTCTTCAACCCTTAGGTCTTACGGGGATGTTCCGGTTAAGACAAAAGCTACTGACGTACTAACTGCCCTATGTGCTTAGGAAATTCGCAGCGGAGAATCCTTTTACTTGTTTTGAAGCCAACAGACGATCCAAAGCAAACTGAAGAACCGAAAAGCACTACTGACTTGGCGACCAACGTCAGAGGCCTCCATCTGCTCATCCTTCTTGACTTGCATATGTTAGGCAGAACCCTTGCTAGAGCGTTCGTCGTTCTATTAGCTTTCGCCATAACTGTAGGTGCTTAACATAAAGCAGCCCGCTAGGTCCTTTAGCCAGGCGTACACCCAGATATTTAACACCGTTTACCATTTGTTTATTGTTTACCATTAGGTTAAGATTTGTTTCTCATACACGTTTTCTTCTTATAAGCAGTACGCCCTCGTTATACCTCCGGAGCAAACTCCAACCCACTTTTCATCGTCAATTCCGAGATTGTGCGGACTGCCTTACTGGCGTATAGGTCCATCTATGTAGCCGTTTTTGCCTGTACCGCAACTGGCAAATGATCTGCATGCATCAGGAGCTCTATTCTGCCTGAAAGATTTCGTAGCCCTAGGATATTATCGTAGGCAATCTTCCATAACCCTAGTATAGAGTCTTGGGGCACCCCTGCCTCTATGATGGTTCTTTCGCTCGTTATCAATTTTTAAGAAATTAGATATTACGCGCACCAAATAGGGCGGTGCAGTCTCCTAGTCATTGTTTTATATATTATCCTGGTCAGAAGAGTGTTAAAGGTTTTCTTGACGTCTAAAGGTACTGCCATGAATGACTTTCGAATCTTGAGCGTCCACCCACACGTGGGTTAGACCTTGGGTGCCATATCTCGCCCTAAATATTGAGGGACTTCTGCTAAATCCAAACTCTCTGTGAAACATCAGTCCATGCTCCTCAGGAAATGATCGTAACCTTTCTTGGATGAGCGCTTCAAATATTTTGGTAAGCAGCTTACCAAGCAAGTCCCCTATTTCGCTCTGGGATGAATTACCACTTCCGCCTTCTTTCAGGCAGCCGAAAGCAGAACTTCCCGCATAGTTCATGCGGCTACTATGGCTGGTACTAGCGGGGGAACTTCTTGACGAAGAGCTAGGTCGCCAAAAACATGGCCCCGGTGCTTTCCTTTGATGCATCCTGCTGCCGTGAGGTTTCGGCCGCCACAATCGCTAATGTTTCGCTCTCTAATTCCGTTGCTCCTTGTTCCCAAATGCTGTCCATGACAACTTCTCGTATCGCGGAAGTAGCTTCCTTAGTATGACGACTCTGTCCCTTTTCAGCATGCCTTAGGGCTCTCCATCTTGTAAGGTTTTCCCTATGGATTTTTGAACTCTGCAACGAAGTCCCTCTAACAACGCTCTATGTTCTGGCTGACGGCTCGTTGAAGTTCTGCTCTGCTTTGCCAGCACTGGGTGAGCAGAGTTGCTACCTTTTCCTAAAGTATCTAAATAAAGGCAAATTGTCCTACAACCAGTCTGAGTTGTGTTCATTCATTTATTTTAGGTTGGTAATAAAAAGGTAATAGATGTATAGAATCAAAGTCATTACGAATTGCTACGATTAGCGAATATCTATAGTGGTTCATAATTCTATATTTTGATGTATATCTTGTTTCATACAGGTACGTCCGAAATGGAGATACGTTCTTTGTCGAGGTGGGATCGGTTGATCTCACAGCGAGACATGGGCATTCACGCAAGAAGGCCTGGGCTAGCTATATACACCACAACTACAATGAAAACACACTTGACAACGACATCGCGCTTGTTAAGGTTCATATCAGTTACTTAACTGCCGGTTTTTGGTCTTCATTATCTTGCCTATGATAGAAATTAAGTGAATTTAGTACCACGATTTTCTGTCACTACGATGCAAATCTTACTGAAGGAAGTTGGACAATTGCTACTGGGTTAGCTAGATCTTGTCCTTAAACGTAACTGGAACGACGTTTCCGCAAAATCTCCTACTATTAAATTTTCAGTTCGGCTAATTTTCATCATAATAGGACAATTCATCTAAGAAGTAGAACCTCTCTAAGACGAAGCGCCGGAAAACTCAAATAATTTTTCCTAGATGGCTGAAATGTTCTATAGTAACGTGTTACTACTATTCGACCAGTTACGTAGGAAATTATGATCGATGAAAGAATCTTACTTTGGAGACATATTATTACAAGTAGGACACTTTTTGTTATTTTGAACAGGTTTTGAATCCATTCAATGTGAACTCTTCGTCAATATCAGCAGCCTGTACTGTGTGTCTACCAGGCAAACAAGGATCTAAGAATCCTGAACAGGCAGCACAAGGTCAGGAAGGCCAATCCACCCGATGCACTGTTACGGGCTACGGTGCCCTACAAGAAGGAGGACCCGTTGCCATGCGCGTTCGGCAGGTGGGAACATTTACGAGAAAACAACAGCCCAAAACCGTATAAGATCCTAACTCGAAAAGAAATTTAATTTCTGACTATTTACTACTTTTTTTATTAACCTGCTTCGATCAAATGCTCAAATTCGTATTGTTTATTGTTATTTTTATTGATCTCGATTGAAGCAGAATTGTTGTAGGACGACCATGAAACGTCAACCGTTAACGAGTCCTATTTCGTCACAGCTTCTGAGACATTTATTTTTGAGGCACGTATATACGATAATGCTTTGTTGTTTTACCGTGTGAATTGCGGTTCAGGTTGAGCTTCCTATGGTTGAGGAGCGTACGTGCGTCGCTCAACTAAGCGCGGCCACGGCGAAGCTATTCAAACTCCCTGCGAGCACATTCTGTGCCGGTGGGGAAAAAGGCAACGATGCATGTCAGGTCAGCCTCAAAGCTTAGCGGAATTATAGCAGTCACTTTTGTCAGATCACATTAGGTTTACGCTTTTACCAATTCGACCTCGTAGTGTATATACTTATCTCAGATAGCCTTTGTGAGAACTAGAAGAACTTTGCGTGCTTTCCCATACGTTTCTTTTAGTACCATCTATATTTGACCAATTCAGACTAGCTGAAACATAGCTTCAATCAAGGTTCCCCTCTTGCTGTAGGTTACCGTAGGCGCGCAATATATTCTTCGTATTATGCTATGTATGGTACCTTATATATATGTATCACTTTGTTGAAATTGTCAGGGCGACGGTGGGAGTCCGATGGTATGTGACATGGGAGGCTTCTATGAACTGAAAGGTCTTGTGTCCTGGGGCCTTGGCTGCGGACGACAGGATGTACCCGGTGTTTATGTCAAGGTGTCTTCATTTATAGGCTGGATTAACCAGATTATCTCTGTTAATACGGCGTAATATTCATCGAAGACAACACCGATCGCGAAAGACAAGAGATACTAACGAACCTTCGAAGGGACTGCCTAGAATTTAGACTAAGGTTACGTTTAATGTTACGTCATTGACAATAGCCTATTCAAGAGAGTTACCAATAAATAATAGTTTACTATAACGTAAACAATTAGAACTTACTAGTTCAAACTCAGTCGAAGCCATATTGCGAAAATTAACTGAAGCTGCGCCACGGATAGCGTTTACTTCAGTGGTTGGGGGGTTATTTAACAATAACATTACGATTCAAACGTTTGTGTAACCCTGTGGATCCTGTACATGCAGTCCATGGAAATATTTAACACTGTATATAAATCAATTATTATAGTGCTAAGTATTTGTTATGGGAACGCTAAGAGCTATGTGTAGTGGACTCATTTGTCGCATGGAAGTTCATGCATTTATCACCTATGACCGCCTTGAGCGACATTCATTATCCTACTGTTTATGTATAAGTTGGCAAATCAAGCTGATCAGTTACTTAGATGCCTTAAGTAAAATCTGTTATTCGAAAGGGTCTGGGTGTCTTTTACCATTTGTTTTCCTTAAGGGCGTACAGTCGTAAGGGTAGAGCGACACAGGCAACCCTTACGGTTGTATAGAGTAGTCGATCGACTCTTAGTAGTTGCAGTTGGAACTGACCAAACAATAGCTTACGTAAAATTTATGAATATTACATGTCGCAGATTGCCATATATTCATTAATAAACGTCTTATCTGACCCTATTTGGTAGAATAAGACAGGCATTTTACGGACCCCAGGATATATAATGGACACTTGTAGTAGATACTCATTATTGATATTACTGATAAATAAAAATCCAGTGAAATTTATTGAACTTACAGAGCTTATTAAGAAGTAGAATAAAACTATCACAACAACTAAAATATTTACTTGTCCGATATACACATTAGCCTGCTTTGCAGTTCCTAACCAATGCAAAGGCAGTGGTAAAAAAAGGCCCAGCATATTTTTACTGTCCGGCAGGCAGTCACTTTAATAATTTATCAGGTAATTTAATTATGATCATTCATATAATGATCTAGTCCAAATATAGAACGTCAAACTGGATAAACGCGGATTACTTTGAGAGTTTTTAGAAGAAAAATTAAAGGCCTAGACTACTAGATTATACATAGTTAGTCTATTGTTTTTGAGGAAAGGTCAATGTTTTTTTGTTTCATTTATAAAAAATATATTGATAGCTTTGTCAAGAAAACTTACTGGAAGCGTCTAACATTGTGGCTAAGCTCCAAATATAGAATAGCTTTAAGATAGCCCTTCGTTACTATAGATCCCCGCGTTCGACACGTGTAGCCTAAAAGGCGTAACAAGTTCCTTTAATTGGCTGGTTCTATACTTACTGCAAAAGTCAAAATGCTTTACATAGAAGCTTTATTTTTACAAACGTTTCACCGACTAGATGCTGTTGGTTTTATTGATATCGCAATGCTTAGCTTCAGTGATTGTTGCATCCTTCCAGCCCATTTCAGAGCGAAGCTAAGAGCGCTTATAATAGGCTAGAGCTACTATTGCATTATTACATTAGTATTTCTATGACTGACGATTCGTTACATTATGTATTAGTAACACGAACATCGGGAAAAGCCCGGAAAAATCTTACGAAGTTGTAATATAGGAACCATAAACAGTGCGTCCTTTTCCGGTACGTTCGGTCGCCCCTGCGATTCGCTAAAGCGGAGGAATGAATGCCTTTACACGCCACGATATTGCCTGATCTCAACATTCGTCAGGCTGAATTAGGGTCACAGTTCTTCTATCTGTAGTCCCAAACGTCTGTCGTGAAACGCAGCTGTTTTGGGGCATCACATAATATGCCATAGTCTTGCCATTCTATATCTATCTTTCTCTCTCTTCTTAGGGTCTCTTACGTGCCTTACCCAAAAAACCCTCACCTCTCCATGGCACATTCTTCTCTCTCAAAAATCCACTCGCCTAAAGTTTACTTTCCTTACCGTTTTACCTAAGTGTGCTAGGCCTGTGGTCCCCAGGCCGCATGTATTTGCCAGTCCGTTTCGCAGTTAGTAGCAGCAGCGGCGGCGGCGGCGGCGGCCGGTCGCCGACAGCTCATCAGGAAAGAGCAGCGCCGCTGTTCTCCTTCTCTCGATCTCTGTACTCCGCTTAAAACTAGAGTCACTTAACGTCAAAAGCGTCAAATCGCACAAAAATATTAGGCGGTAGTTTGCCAACGCTGCGCCTAATATTCTCTAAATTCAATGGGGTCACTCGTACAATTTGACTGTTCGGCAAATATACGTTAAAGGGTGTATCTATATCAAAAGGCCCAATTGTACGGCAGCTGATATGGGGTAAGCTTCCTATATGGCGTCGGAACTATGGCTGGTATTTCCGGTAGAGAGTATAATCCCCTTCCGTTCTCTATATAGCAACAATAGTTGCAACTGTTTACAACATAACAAGAGCGATGGACAAATCAAAGCGCAAGGAAACGGTCTGTCGTTCCTAAGAAGGTTAATTAGTTTATCTATTAAACTAAACTGTGATGTCACTTATTTAACAAACACGAATTGTATTTAAACAGTATTCTAAGTTAAATTCATGCCAGGCCTTTCTATCGAAAATTTGCTTATTGCCATGATGTCAAATGAGGGCATTGTATTTTCAAGTGTCTCTATAGAAAGCTATATTATGGATGTGCGCATACTGAAACGAGCACGAGACAACTAATTTTGTTAACTTAGACAATTGTTAAAATGCTCCGAACTCATTATATTCGTCCCTTTTTACGCTTAACACAGCTTCGTATAGTATATACCAAGTATTGTTTTGTTAGCCCATGCGCTTTGAAGACTTCTTTTACATAAATTAGACCTAATATGCTAACTATGGTCATAGGGCTCGAAATTAGGCATATACCCAAAGGGAGCAATGTAAGGGTAAGGTCATATGGAGCGCATTTTTATTCACCTTTTTTTTTTTTTTTTTATTTACTTCCTTTTGAAGCCTGAACCTAGTTATACTTAATTAAGAGCTTTTTATGATGGTCTAGGCAAACTCTAAAACCAAGTAAAATTCGCTTGAGATAAGGAGAGCACATGTTAGTAGTGATTTTTTCCATCAAACAATAGGCTTTATATTTTCTTTTTCGAGGCCGCGAGAAAGCTATGCGATAAAGTGCCATGGATAAAAAAAGGAAATTTTCCAAAAGTAGATAGAGAAAAAAAATTAAGACAAACTCCCCTTGACTTTAAATCGTTTTGATTGGACCGTACAATCCCATAATTTAGGAACACCGTAAGCATACGTAGTGCAAAAAAAACTCAGTGATAATTAATTCAAATGTTTTGGGAATAATGCATATTCAAAACAACTATTACTCTCCAGTTCTCTCTAGATCATTAGGATAAGATGTTCCTCCATGTTTTGTTAAAGGAATTTCCACATGCGGGTACTTTTAGAAAACGGCTTGCTTCAAACGGCACAAACAACACGATCATCCCCGTCGTATTTCTTTTGTCCAATTTCTATGACAGTTGTTGCACTTCAGTTTTGAGTATAGCCAAGAGAAGGCAATAGCATCGCGTAATATATGGTAACAGCTGGACACCTGATAGCATTTGCTTGCGTCGGCTACACGTCCGGTGGCACCGATAAAAAACACAATGTAATAAGAACTCTCTACCGAAAGCGATTAGACAAAGTGCAGCGTATCGGGACCCACCTGTTCTGTGCTTTGCCATGGAATCACTAGACACAAAGACCGATTCCTCATCCACGACCTGTCGCACGACAGGATAGCCCATCCATTAGGTGGAGAGGCCCGTCCGGTCACAGGCGAGGGCCTCTTATACCCGGGGCCTATCGAGGGCTTCATTCGGGAGATGTCGAGCTTCCGGGTTTGAGGTAACGCGCGGTGTATAGTGGTCTATCCTGTCTGCGTTAGGCAGCTGCGACTTAGTGTACTTTGTTGATAGCGTAACATCGCAATCCCTCGCGCCTTTCATATAGTCTCTATGACTTTCTTTGTAGTAATTATTATAGGCCTTGCCAGCTGTGGTGGCATATTGTTGCACCTTAGCAAAACTTTTCTATTTCACCCACCTGAATGACTGGATATTGTTATTTATTGTGCATAGTTTGCGTGTGTATTGTATTACGTCAGGGATGGCATCACCTGCCTGTTAACCTAGACAGAAACGCACTAAATACTCCATCATGTTCGACCCATTTGCTATCCTCCTGCGATGGCCCAAAATGGTATAATCACAGACAAAGCCTAGCTTACTCCAAAAAGTGGATCTTCACCGAGAACGCATCCTTGCCGTTGAGAAGATTTAGTAAATAGGATAAATAGCCAGGAATATTACGTCTGGTGACCGGACGATATGTTGGAACAAAGGCTGAAAATCGTTAACATCGTAAGTATAACATGGACTTCAAAGATCTTGCACAAAGCAATGAACTTGATTGAAGGATAATGTGCCATCGCGTCGTATATAATTCTACAGGCTTGTCGATATTCAAGATAAGTTCCTATCATGTCGCTTCAGATGAAATGCTTGGCTTGACATTTAGATGTATCTGGTTAGATACTGTAGCCTAATAATCTTACGGCACGACGTAGTCTAGGTTGGAACCCGAGTATAGACAGGCATCGTTTCGTGCTGGCAGTCAGCCGTCTGATGGAATGTCTAACGGCGATACCGGACGTAAAACTCGAAATACAAAGAGGTATTATCGGTTAACTAATACAGTGGAGCATAATACTTTTGACGATATTTATACAGAATCATCTGTTATACAACTAAATATCTATCGTATGCTAAGTAAATATCTAAACAACGGACTTGCAGTATCAGAAAAGTTTACTGGGTAACTTTGATAATGCCATTATATATAACAAACGAAGACAAGTTGGCAACTCACACAACATAGGCAGCTTTCAATAACACGACTACCGTGAGTATAAAAACGCGTTTCATTAATTTACTAAAGCACCTTTGGCACGACATTGAAAAAGCATAACGTAGCATTTTCTGAAACGTCAAGGATGCATAAGTCTGCAATCCAGACATTGGCCGAGAATCAATACTGTTGGTGTTGGGTTAATCCTCCAAATCACTGGAACAGAACAAATTGACTCGATTTGTTAGACTCGTAAAATATCTGCATGGCTACAATAAGCGTTGGCCGTACGCGTACCTATCTTCGAAATTCATTTTTAAGGATTTTGCCCTCCTTCGAACAAATGCTTTGCAAAATTTATGTTATGAGATGAACTTTTCGCTTAAAATCTTATGCTCTCGTTATATAAGAGCGAAAAAATCATTTAAAATTTCTCGTACACATAATTACCGTTGTAGCAAGCAAACGATTATCCATTCATCGTCTGGCCATTAGAAACAAAAGAACGCTATAGTGGAAGCCGCTTATTCAAACAACAACTCGGGCTAGGATAGATGATACAAGTTAGAAGTTCTGTTGTTTCTCCGGTGCATGTTACAGTGTTGTTCTGGACGGGAGGATTTTCTATACGCTATACAATAACGGTTTTCTACTTTAGTAACAGTGGGGGAGAAAGTAGGTAAAAATCACAGAAGTTTGGGTAGAGCAAAAAGCAAACGCAATAAATGAACAAAAAAGTAAAATTCACCAAGGTCATTATATTTTTTATTGACTCACCTGGACCATATATACGTATATCTATATATGTATATAACGCTGTTCCAGACCCTATTTCAATGAACTAATGTTGATTTAGCGTAACGCATGTTTACAACGTATCGTTCTTTTTTTGTTACCAATTGCCATTTTCGCTTCCTGGTATGACGAAGCCGCGGTGCATTTAAACTTAATGATAATAAGGGTACATGTTTGCCAAAATCGTATATGCTGACTTTTTGGATGCTAGCAACTGGCATACTTTGGCATGTCCAAATAGGGGTCACGTACCCCTGTGCTGTGGAAACGGTGAAGACACGTTCGGATAGTTGGAATGTAGTTGCTTTACGGTGTACATGGAATAATTCTTTAATACTTAGAGTTAATTTCTCACTAGGAAGATTGCGCGGAGGTTCAGTTTCTGGTAAAACAAGGTATAAGTAAACTTGGATTCACTAATAATAGGAGCATAGGTTTTACTTCATATAGAACACTTGTAAAATTAAACACTTTAAAATTCCAATACGGCACTCATTTAAATTAACAGTAAAACATTTGAATGAGATGTTATGGTTTGCTTTGCCTGTTCTAAATTCATTTACTGATAACTTATAATGTATCGATATCTGAATATTAACAAAAGCGAGCATGCATACAGTGCATGTAAAGTAGCATAATACTAAAACCGTTGTAAATTGAGTAAGGAAGTTAATTTTATTAATTGCAATAATCGAAACCAAAAAAGTACTGCCACAAGACATTTGATTTTCCTAAACTGTAATGTGGTACTGTTAAATAAAATTGTATGCAATGGATTGTTCGATTCACGGCAGTGATTAGGCAGAAAATATAATATAAGAAAAATAATGCAAGCCTTTTTTTATATGCCTACTTATGCTCTACGAGCTCGTATTTTTTAGGTTTATGACAGAAAAAAAAAGTCAACATCGAGATGTTCTTGTGCACCTCGAATAAGCCACGTAGGTATCCAGAAATTAGGGCTACATATAACAGCTCGTTTTATGTCGTATGCTACATTTTCGGCTAGTTCCGTATTATATAGCTCTCGTTTCTATTCTCATATAACACGTCAAAAAAACTTTGCTTGTTTTATGCCTCTAAATTCAATTCATCGCTTAATATCTTCGCATGGGTCTTTTAGTTAAGTGTCGGCTAAAATCGGCGATCGTCAAGTGGATGAATGCAAGAACCACCTTAACCTAGATAATATTATATGGCTTGCCTTTATTACGTAATAAATAGAGAACTATATTTGTGGCATGACGGCTTGTCAGTATTCTTTTGGGCACTTTTTGAAAAAGATAATTTCACTACAATATCGTTTACGTCTATTTTTGGATTTTTTTAACCCACTCTTTAACCTTGGCGGATTTCCATACGCCTTAGACTGCAGTTCTAAATGCCTTAGTTCAATATTTCTGACTCCCTGGAGGTCAAAAAAATTTAGATCACACCCCGTCTGAATTATTATAACTATTATACCATACTACTTATACTAACGTAACTATTATACATAGGCTCCTATATGAAGCTGGTCCCTCGTTACGTTAGGCAACGGTAGTCACTTATTTAAGACACTCCCTTTCATGCAACAATTTTTTTTTATGTAACTTATATTTGCGTCTTGAAACTAAAAGGTGCTTTACCCGTTTTGGCCCGCCTTGACAATGTAGTGATCACCTCAGGGATTCCAAAAACGGTAAGTTTCTTTCAATTCTGCTGACTTTCAGCTAATACAGTACTTCAAACAGATAAACCTTATTACAATGTCTACAAACAATTCGAATCCCGAGAGCAGTTGTTAGCTTTGATTAAGTAACTATGTACGTAAAATCGTAAGTAAGTATAGCGTAGGCTGGTAGACACTTGATAGCGTTGACCGAAACCGATCGTTGTAACGAAAAGTTAATATTTCTATAAAATGAAAAATAATTGTTTCTTTTATTACTAGGTTCTAATGATGGTAAACTGGCTTTGTTACAGCTGAATAGACTGAATACATCAGGGATAGTTGTTTCCTATAGCGGTGATGATGAATACCAAACAGGTGGCGCTGGGGGTCCTGGTTTTTGCTATTTCAGTACTCTTTGTCTTCGCGGTTCTTTTCGGCCTGTATAAGGCGCTATCGGGCACTCAAGAGGAGCCACATTCTTCTCCACTGCTACATTCGATAAGGTAACGAACGATTCAATTTTACTCTGCTTTGTTTTGATATGTGCATTCTCGTATTACATGAGTCCTGGCTGTTGCGTATTGAACTGGGGATACGTCGACCATGTACCACATTAAGCGGAAGACATCAACATTGCTTCGTTGGCTGGTCAGAAGGGCTGAGAGGGAAACTAGTACAGCTTGTTATATTTTCGCCACGGTCATTTCGAACTATTTGTTGGAAAGCCAGTTCGTGCTTCGATCTTCATTCAACACAATTCTGCTAGAAACAAGCAGCTTACGAGCCACTGAAGGCCACAAAACGTCACTTAGGAAATCGTTTCTGAAAATACTAAATCAAGCTAGGCAGATTGTTATTTGAAATTACTGCTACTGGAATTGAAACTCTTATTATTGTATTGCTATACTATAAGGCGGTTATTGTGATTAAATGAATACTAAGGACTTCAGGGACTTCTTGAACTTGTGGGGCCTGTCTAGTGTTAATTATTATATTTCAATGCCGTCTGTTAGCATTTCATGTAGATAATTCGTCTAGCTCTTACTATAAGCAAAATATTGCTTTAAAAAAAGTCTGTGAAGTTGATAACCCGCAAAGCATGCATCATTTATTGTCAACTGTTATGGCAAAAGTACTCTCCATGCTGGCCCTCCAGAAGCTCTACATTTAGAAGTAGAAGACATACTTGGACTCTGCTTCCAAAATGCTTCGGGAACGTTCAGAAGAATTTATCAGCAAAAAACCTTATCATTAGTAGCTATTTTCGTCTAGTTATTGTACAACAGAAAATCCTATTGATCCTTAGAATACGCAGTTTCAGGTTTATTTATTGCAACAACAAAATCGGCGCAATTATATCTGAGAGTAAGGCAGGAAGCTTGAGCTTTATGGTATATTATTAGCCTACGATAGTGTATAGCTTTTATTTGTATGTGTCCAAATGACTAAAAACAAGCGGCTGCTGTGAACAACGAAATCAGATTTAGAGTACTATCTAATTCGTACACCCTTTCCCCTAGATCATGTTATATATGTATACCTTGTCAGAGCATAACTCTAAGTTCTTATTATTACTACCCTAGCATAGTTTAATGCTTTGAATAACCCTAAAGTTCTTTCTTAAACCTTTGCAGATCACTTGTTCTATTTTTTTTTTTATAAACAGGATCTTGAGCGCTAAGACAATTGTAGCTACAGTGTGGATAATCCACAATGTTAACTTCGTTATTAACAACAGCACGGAAATTGTCTGTTCGTGGGTTCGCTTTCATATAGAATACAGTGACCGCGGTAACTTCTAATTCTTATTCATGCATTCAGATTGGACTTCGATCCATGTACTGAAACGGCGTTGGATTCGTCTGTATGTTTCACTTTGGTCATCTTCAGCCACACCAAAAACGAGAACCTGCGCGGTCAGCTCGCTTACATGTATGCCAACGACACCATCAAGCGGGAATACTGCTTCAAACCAATGGTTGTTGTTTTCGACGGCCGTCCGAACAAGTAATCCAACAAACGGATACATTTAGCCGCCACATTTATGAATCATTGACTAACTAACCAAATATTGTCTAGTTTACGAAACTGGCGAATTATTTCCTTTTTTTTTTCCCTTTTGGATCCCCCCCTATTTAATCCTGCATTCGATATTTCTCTTTGAGTCTTGAATCACTTTTCGATTGTCTCGAGGAATCGATTTAGATGTGTATCTATTGAAATTGAATCTTCCTAGAGTGTAAGATACACTCAATGCTTTAGGACTCGACGCATTTCTAAATCAAAGGAAAGTTATGTAACGTAAAAGCACGTAATAAAAGAGCTCTTTCATGGGTCTTTATCAGCAGTTTCATCACAATTAAGATCAAGAACGAGATCAGCCGTCCGACAGTTTTAATCGAGAAGGTTACTCCCGCATTTTTAGCTCTTCTCCGCAAACGGAACCATCTATACGTTTTCGTGTTAGATTCGTTTGCGCCGCATCCGCGACAACTGAGTCAGGTGAGAAATCAATTAAAATATTAAAGCATTCAATAAACTAAAATACAGATTTTAGATTCTAGATAAATAGTATCACACCACTGAAGGTATGACACAAAAGCAGTACGGCAGTGATTTCTTGAGAGCTTCAAGTACTGAACTTCACAAAAAAAAATATATATATATATATATGCATATTTGTTTCGTCTGTCGCAGCGGGCATGCGTTCATCCGCTTGGTACCATACGAAAGTTAGTCGTTTTTGGAACAAAACAATAAGCTTGTCATGGTAAACAACGATGATGCTAGATAGTGCTAGATAATCAAAAATCAGCTATTATCCGATTCTTTCCCGTTGGACGGATTTTTTAAACTTTTTAACGGATTTTATATATTAAAAAAAAAAAAATTTCTTTACTGCTTGCAATCGACAAGTTTTCATCCAGTCTTTAAAAAATTCGACAAAAAATTTTGTGGGACAAAGCAAAGGATCCTCAGTAGACTTTAGGTTTAGAAAGTCTGAAAATTAATCAATATAGCTTAAAAAGCTATTTTTGATACAGCGGAATTTTTAATACAGAAATTTACGACTATTTGAGAAAGGGAAAAATGCATCCCAGCCCTCTTATTGGTTTGCAGGTGGTCAGCGGTCAGAGTCAGATCTGGAATTGCACCCTGAGATATTGCTCGGTGTTTGAACGGCTTTTTTCTCCAACAGCCTGCGGAAGCCACTGCATTACGACGCTAGGCTCAGCGCTCACAGGTGATCGGTATTTTCACAAATCTGTCATCCAGCTTGATGGTCCAATATTTTTCTTCCATTTCCATAAAAGTTACATAGCGCAAAAGCATGATGAAGAACCGTTTGTGATTACAGGTTGCACGCTGTCATCTATAGTGAATGATCGGCAAGCAGAATTTTTTGAAGGATGGTCATTTTCTCAGGAGGTCCAGGTACACCCAAGTTATTCATAGTATACCAAAAAATAAGTAGTCATTTCGAACGTCTAATGATTGTTTCTAATTCTATTCACAAAGAGCGGTCCCTATCTTCATTAATAAGACGTTAATTATCTCTTAACCACTAAAGTCACTCATAAAATGGCTACTTCAGCAAAGACTTCGTTTTTTAATGCCATCATTAAGACATTGTTTCATCTACATGTACTATCCATGTCTCTTCAAATTATTTGAAGCATCTAGAGATATAATATTCATAAATGTTGGATTTGGTGAAATTCAAGTGAACTGATTAAAACAGGTTGATAATACTCTTGCTTTGAAGTCGGTTACGTTGTACGCCGTAAAACTTTGGTAAGATTGACTTTAAAGATTTGACTATTATTGGCCATTTATATACATACCTTTTTTGTTAATACAGAGGCACAACGATATATAATAGAATGTAGCAAATATATATTCGAATCAATTTTGAATAATTTTAAATTAACTTCCGTCTGCTTTTATGTACAGGCGGCGCTGTTTGCGGCCCTTCCTGAAGGCTCTTCAGTCTACGAATTTCATCGCGAGCACTCCAGGGGTATTATGGTTCGCCGCATGGTCCGACATCATCGTATCTCACTGTCCTATAGGCCCGGCTAAATCGTGGCTAGGTCATTTCGCCTATTTTTAAGCAATGATCATCAAAGATTGACTATAATTTTCAATTTAAATTATATGTTTGAGTTTAGAAATATCTGGCACTATAGAACTGTTAGATGCATGTCATATACCACTGGTGATACATGTAAGTTAAACCAAATCTCAGTTTGACTCCAAAGCCATGCATATTTGGGCATTCACTGTAATAGCCTAGTGTATATAACACTTTTACATCTCCACCGTAGACGCCAACGTCCTGTGATGTTTCGTTCGACATTCGAGAGCCGTCACTTGGTTCTTAGGCTTGAAAAAGCAATAGTTCTAATACCGCAGTTACGGTGGATCAGACACTAGGTCATTGTGACCGTTATTCGTCGTTATTAATGCTTTGTTTTTTTTGTTCTGATCACACACTTGTGTGATGTATGCCGTCGGAGCTTGATTCAGTGATCCCTGATCGTTTTGGTTAGAGTTCTAATCATCTAAGTCACCATAAATTACGCTTTTTTTTTTTGCTTAGATCCCTAATGGGCGCAATACTACAATATAAAGAAGCAGCTTGCTGACTCATGTGGATGGTAAATAACAGTCCAATGATGGTTCGAAATCCTTAAAGCCAACATTTAGCCAGTAGCTTAAATCTAGTACTTGGCTGAAATTTGATTTTATAGTATTTACTATGGATTCATTTCCCGAATTTTCCTCCTAAAACAATCGGCAAGCCAACGACGTTGAGCATATTTTAAAGTTGTAGTAACTCCTGTAGCGGTCAGAAAATCGAGTGTCATACCATTTACTTTTCAACAGAGAAGTTTACAATCGTTAATGAAAATGCTGATTTAGATTTTACTGTTTTTAAACGTAACTGGGAAGTACTTAATGGATTTTGCGCAAGTGTTGCAATGGAAACAACAGCGAAACGCGTTGCTGGTTGCAACATATGTTGGACCTGTTGGTTTAAACAATGAATGAACTTACTGAAATACAAGTGCCAGCAATAAATGCAGTGATGGGTCACGGTCGAATATTGAATTATGGTAATATCGTACAAAGGAACGAAGATATATACTGATTTGCAAGAGTTTTTTTTATGTTTCATTTATTCTACTGAAAATATATACGAACGCCCGCATGAGGATCATTAGTAAAGAAAGTTTGTATTAAACGATTTTTAGTTTTTTCATTTACAGTGTGAGCACACGTCTAAGTAAAGTCGAAAGTCAGGATATTCTGTTTGCTTTTGACTCAATATAATAGTTCTGTGGTACGCCCAGCAGCTCTAGGGCTACCTTAGTGTTGGTACAGCCATCTAGATTTTAAGTAGTAGAGCACACCTAGAACGTGTCAAAAGCCGTAAATAAGTCAGCGTGGGGTATAGTTGATGAGAGAAGGGGTGCGCGTACTTTTTTCACTTTTGAGTGTAAAACACTTCAAAAAAAGCCCCTAATAAAATAGAAATGGAATGCCTAGATAACTTCATTAACCAAGAACTCAAGGGCATATAAAAAGCGTTACTAAGTAATAAGAGTTCCCATTCCCAGGTGAACAACAAGGAGCAGCAACGTTCGTAGTAAGAGTACCTAAACTATCTAATCCATTTATGGTAGAAAATATAACTTGCGCACACTTAAGTAGCTCGGGGAAACCTCCCAAGAGTCAAAACATAAATTAGTGATGCTTCTTGTGATATCTCTTTGGTTTATACGTAGAATGGTCAGTAACTGTAATTTTAAAGAATTAGTTATGATGACTTGCTTTTTTTTATTGAAATGCCTCCTCGTTTTGTTCTGCTTTGCATAACAATCATTGTTCTACCCCTTCAAACAATCGTTTTGCCCCATCTGCTCTTGGCAATATGTGTAAACATGTGTAGCTGTTTTGTTGTATAAAATCCATCTCTGCCTTTATAATGTATTATGGATAATTGCTCCATCGTAGAGTATCTACTTTAAACATCCTTTGATGGTGCATATAGTCATATATAGTAATATACAGCCAGATAAATAATAGTAGTCAGAAATAGTCAGATACAACTAACGATCGTTCCCACCGTATGAGGAAATCTCATATACTGCCTTGTTTGATTAATCATGGCAGCTTAAGGGTCATAGTAATATATAATATATCAAATAACACCTTTTTTTATATTTAACACATGTGATAGCATTTTCGCACACGTGATGAAATTTACATATGTCGAGAAAAAGCAGCAAAATAGTTTAAAAAGAAGAAGTACATTTTTTTAGTCCTTAATAGTCATTGTATTAATAAGCCATCGTGTTTCTTCCACCGCAATTTTCTCTGCATAAACAGTCATTTTCTGTTCATCGTTTTCGAATGCTTTGCGGAATTGTATGAACTCTTCTTCTGCTATATAACCCATGGCTAGGATCCGAACTCTACACAGAAATTTCTATTCCACAATGGCACAGACTCTTTTAGTCCGCGCTCAGCAGCTTTCTAAAAGGTTCCCATCAACAATAATTCATTTATTTGCTACAAGAAACAGCTGTAAGGACTTGGCACGTTCTGGGATCGTGTTGTCGCTTTTCTGTTGTTGTTCTAAGGGATAGAAAAGCCGATTATTAGGAGGTGACCGCAGTTACAGTGGCAAACAGAGTGAAAGAAAAGAATTTTGATAGCAATAAAAAGTGAGTGAAAACGAGTATCTCTTAGTATAAGTCTCCTTTTTAATTGTCTTTGAAGAAATGTATGTTATATTATACATAATGGCTGGATTTTCGGATAATACAAAAAAAAAGGTTTAACTTATTGGAATATGGTAAATATCTATGAGCGGCAAGTAAGCGAAGCAAAATCGGGAATCAAGTCTAGCGATTACATGAAACAGTATGAAATTGCCTGATCAGTGCCGTTTTTATGATCTTTGAGGCAATTACATTATTTGAGACTGTCAGTAGCTCTACAGCCGGATGGTATCCTTTTTAGTATTGGATAAACGTTCTGAATCCAGAAAGAAGAGTTGTGATAGGCTCTGGTATCACGACTTGTATCTAAATTTATATTCCATCCTTTATTTTTATTATTTCACATATTTTAATATTTGAAGCTCGATAGTAACTTGGCACAAAGCTAGCCCGTGTCTGCTACATGACCTTCGAGCACAAACTTTCTAATTCTAGTAGAGCGATTGTGCGTTTAATAATAACAGAGATTAGATAATTACTCCAAGAAAAATATCGTTATAGAACTATTTACTATGAAGTGAATAATAAAAGCTAAATAATTAATGTAAACAACGAACCTGTCATCGTTAATCTATTAGTATTGTTCTTGACTAGAAGATGTTACATACATCTGCATGGAAACAAAGTCAAAAGAACTGAAGCTACTGCCGCAGTCCTCTTTTCCATAATAAATCTTAGATTTAAAGTGCCCTGAAGTCCACATCAACAATATGGTGCGTATATCTGCTACAGGTTTGAACACAAGATTGAACGTTACTTATCATTGTCGCATTATTCTTGTTTAT